GTTGTGGTGGCAGTACAAATATATGGATGAGTCTACTTTTTTGTTTAATCGGAGATTACACAGTACGGCCACCGTATCTTGGCGAGTCTGAAGGTAGCCGTTTGTCTGCGCAATGGATCTTTTAGGAACAAAATTGTGTATTGCGCAGCTAATCGGCTACCTTCAGACTCAACAAGATACGGCGGCCGTACTGTAGATCCCTTCATTGACAGTGATCAACGCCTATAACATCGATAGGGGTTGTTAATGCGGTACGAATCTTTATAAAAAACGTCAGACTCTTACTGACTCAAAACCATTCTAGCAAGAATGGTTTAGAAGTAAAGGAAGGGTACATTATTGTGTTTGCCCTGCAATCCTAGCAATTTAGTGAAGCTAGGATTATGAAACTATACGCATAACATAGATAGATGTTATGACAAGGCGACGCAGGTCCTCTCTTGGAGAGCATGAAAACGCTGCAATGCGGAAATAATAGTAACGGATGTGTAGTTGTTAGTTTTCGAATTTTAAATGTTTATGATAAGTGCGTATTCCTTTTTTAAGGGCTGTAACGCACTTTCTTCCTTCCTCTGGTGTTGCAAGTTCAAATATGTGAGGCTAAGCGTTGACTACTTTATCCGATTCGTCTGTTCATTTGCCCGTTACCCAGTTCAATATCCTATAAAACAGCTTTCCCTAACAAAGAACAAGAGACACTAGATACAATTTTTAACAAAAATATCATTTTTACTTGAGTTAATGACATTTCGACAACCGTATCACTGGCTAGTAATTAATCAATTATTTTCTACGTTTCATTTAAACACCAATGATGGCGATTGTCATTTTAAAATTGATAGCGAAGTAATATGTACAGTCAACTCCAAAAGTCGATGAACAGAATCAACTTACCACAACACCTGTTCACAATAAAACGCCATAAGTTATAGTCGCAACTAGGAAACAAAATAGCCTGTGCACCAGAAATTTACAAAAGTCGTTGCACACGACTAATTCAAAAGTATCTGTGCACTAGTATTCCTAAAGTCGCTGTACACCTTCAATCCAAATGTCGCTGAACATCATTGTATCAAAAGTCACTAAACAGCGGTAAAGACAAAATTAGATTAACAAAGTATATGTCGGCGCACTGGCCATCAGTGCATGTAAAACCTCTTTGTTATACGTCGATGTCAAACTTCACTGTCAACTGTCATAATTATTTCAAGTCCATTGCGAACACCGAGCTCTGGTGAGGCGGCCTTCTTGTAAAACAGGACAATTATTAGTGTTGGACCTTCGTAGAATACGCACGCGGCCACGTGTTCGGTGGACGTTAAGTTCAAATTCAACCTAATCTTAATTATCCTTAGTTAAATTGTAATTGTTTTTTTTTTGTGTGGGAAAAATCATCAAACGACTTCTCCCGCCCAGGGCCGGGCAGGAGGGAGTGTCAGACTCTTACTGACTAAAAACCCCCCTGTTCCTTCTCCTGCTCTGTGCCGAGGTCACGGTGCCTCATTGCGCTTACCCCGCAACCCCGGCTGAACATCAGCCCTTTAGGGCCCCGTCTGTGGTGGTCTAATGGGCCTGGTTCTGGTCGGGCGGCGAGGTGCCCTTACTCGCCGACCGCAGGCCCGTGCCCGGAGATCGTCCCTCGATCCCCGACGCCCGTAGTGTCGCCAGTTGCGGCTGCTGGGGCGTGAGGAGGAGGATTGCTCCCTCACGCGGGCCGCTTCTCTCTTTGCGAGCATGACTGCTTCACAAAAAGATGAGACGGCGTCCCAGTTCCTCTCACTCCGCACCATGGCCTCGACTAAGGCCGGGCGCGAGAGGTCGCCGCCGCCGATCACTTCCCTGAGGATACGGCGGTGCTCAGCCCAGGCAGAGTATGCCGCTACCGTATGCTCCACCGTATCCTCTAGACGGTAAATTGTAATTGTTGTGATTGTAATATCAAGAGTTGTAAGAAGAGTGATTATAGCAACAGTTATTTTATTGAAATACTGTCTTCCTGCCCAAGCGGGGCACACTTCCACCGTATATTCTACCGTGTCCTCCGGGCGATCTGTGCTATTTTAGCATTGCCGTAGTCGGGTAAAAATAATAAATTATAGGAAGGTAGGTTTTGTAAGATTTGCGCAAAGTAAATTACAAGTACCGTCACAAAAATCACTTCGTAGATCACTAGAGTTATGTTTATGTTATTTAATAAATTATAGATTAGTATGATTACTGACAATAAAATATAATTTATTTGTAAATAAGTTTTGAAATATGTAGATACTAACGTGTTAATATACATTATTAAGTTCTAGCAAACACGGTCCCAAAAGTAGCTGAACAACATAAGCGTCAAAAGTATATTAACACGGGGCAACATTAAAAATATACTTTGTTAACCTAATTTTGTCTTTACTGCTGTTTAGTGACTTTTGATACAATGATGTTCAGCGACATTTGGATTGAAGGTGTACAGCGACTTTAGGAATACTAGTGCACAGATACTTTTGAATTAGTCGCGTGTAACGACTTTTGTAAATTTCTGGTGTACAGGCTATTTTGTTTCCTAGTTGCGACTATAACTTATGGCGTTTTATTGTGAACAGGTGTTTTGGTAAGTTGATTCTGTTCATCGACTTTTGGAGCTGACTGTACGTACGACTTAAACATGGTAACAAATTATAAAAGTTGTTGGGATCAATAAAATGGCGTCCAATGAAACTCGATACGATTCACTAGACAGAGTTCATCAGTGACTGACAGTGAAGTGAAAAGTAATTTACAACCAAGTAAATACTTACGGTCCTTGGATTAATGAAGTGAAATATGGGGCTCCGTTAAAAGTGAGCGGTACTTAACCTAGATCAATACGAAAAAGGATAATAGAGAAACAGGATCGCCTTTATTTTGGTAAAGGAGAACTTAAACAGTTTAAATGGAAACAAATATGGCTAAAACGTATAATAAAACCTTTTTTTGTCAGGTATTGCCAAAGACAATTTTTAAGAACTACCCTCATTATTACTCTATCCCTAAGGACTAACGTGTGAACTGTATTCTATGAAGTTCGAAAAAACTATAAAGTTTTGGAATGGGCTGGGAAGAAATTGTGGCGCAACATTATGGCCGGCAACGAGTTTCAAGTTTCTGTCTATCCAGTTATAACTGGATTCTTGCGTGTTACAGAATATTGTAACGACACTTTAATCGGGAAAGTAGAAATCGTACAACCGAAGGTCGCAAGGGCGGCCCAACGTAATGTCTAATAAAAACCTTGTTGTCTAGGGCGAGTTGAAAAGGTGATGAGTCCGAATAAGTGGGCAGAAGTGGTTAATTTTGGAAATTACTATCTTGATGTATAACGTTTTATAGGCAATCTGTGAAACGTGGACACGCATGTGACGGATGTAATGGAGCTAGCTTTGCTAGTCGAGTCGACAAAAATGTGCAACAACACGTACACTGCCCAGTGTCTAATTACCGGAGGTTGCACCTTCTGTAATTACCCTTATGTTGGTTGCCTGGAGGTTGAATCCAACCAAGAAGTGGTATGTTTGTACGAGGTAGTATAATCTGTCTAAAAACTAATAATGATGAATAGCATGGTAGTTATTTCTCAAGGAATAAGGGTTTTGGTACACCAGTACCTATCAAGTTTCTGAGTATTGTTGTTGATAAGTCGTCGGCAATAAAAACTGTACAATCTTTGCATTTACGCAGTTACAAATGTGTTTTACGAATGAGCAGTCGTAAGAATGTACGATTATTAGTGATATGTTTTCTTTGTTAGCCTAATTACTTAGATAATAGGAGAGCCGATTAGTCCGCGGACCGCGCGTCGCTGAGTATCAACAGATGACAATGTTTCTGTTATTTATACAATAAAACAATAGTCTACACAAAATAATCAAATTAAAGTTAGTGAGTTCAATCTTCGTCTGATTCGAGATGTTGTTAGGTAGAAAAGTTGTTGGTAACTAAAGTAGGTAATTAATAAAAAGCGGACCTTACCTCTCGCACCATTCCCGTGATTGACCGGCGCTCCGTTCACTTTGATCGGCCTTCCGTCCGCAGTGCATTTTAAAAGCATATTTCCAACGAAACAAACATTCACCTATTACGAGCCATCCGATACAGTCAAAACAATAAACTTCGTAAGCACGAAAACAAAAACACGCAATGTAGTTTTTTCTTTCGCGCCAACCGATTGGTTGTCACTCGTGACGTCAAAAGTCAATTTGAAACCACTCGAATCGACACAAAACTTCGTGTTATCTTTTTCAGTTCAGTTAATGTAACAAGTTGTTTATTTAGTTCACACTTCACGATTAACAACACTGGTAGATATATTTTATATCAAATAGCACAAATTTATACGCGATCCGATAACTGTATTGGAATACACACACACAACGCAACAGGCTGGCTGATTGACTGAAATGAAAACTGCTGCGGGTTGCGATACGGCTCACGGCTGGTGCCGTGTTTTGATTGATAGAACAAGAAAAAAATGAATGAAACAAGTGTGAAGTTTGTCACGAGAGCGTTATCGTTATCTCACTCTTTCCAGTGTTGTGGCAATGAAAATCTTCTTTCCATTAGCAGATCAAGGCACCAATTATGTTAAAAAAAATTGGATTGTACCAAATATGTTTCTTTTTTATATTGAGCAACTACACATTTATTATTCTAAAGAGATTGCACATTTTGCTATGAGTTATCAGTTATCAGTAGACAAAGATAGAAAATAAAGATAACAATTTCGTTTGTTATTCTTAGTTATGTTGGTAGCATTGGTTAAAGTGTTGCCATTACTAATAATGAACTCTTTTTTAAATAGGTTTAATTTTAATTAGTAATTAAATTTAAAATAACCCACTTCATATGAGGTGATTAAAATAAATTTTATTATGAATAATTTGAGCTAATACTTGACCTCAAATCTTAAAGGGGTAAAATATATTTACTTTTAAACGTATTGACAAGCGCGGCCATCGAGTCCTAGTCCTATAGACGCCATTTTAAGAATTTCATCGTCGATTGTACTGACGCTTGGTTACGTTTTAATCGTGTTTAACCATAATATTACATTCATATCCAAATAAGTACAAGTAAAAGATTTGAAATGGGTAAAAAGGATAAAAAAGGTGAAACTAGTGAGGCATCCAGCGAAGAAGAATATGTTGTAGAGAAGGTTCTCGACAAACGTACTGTAAAAGGCAAGGTAAGAATTTCCTATTTTCTTAAGTTCGATAATTAGAATTACTTATACATTGTGAACTTGCTTATTTAGTAAGTAATATTATGGTTTTTCTGACCAGGTTGGCTCGGCAGTCGTACTTATTTTGTCATGATGTTTATCGGCAAAGCGGTAACCTTTACTTCAAACTTCTATTTAATACCCCTAAAACTACAAAACTTTTCACCGGTGTGGCATTCAATTTTGATAAAGGACCGTCAGGAATGTCGTTTGTAATAGAAACATTACAAGTGGCATCACATAAACAGACTCACGAACATTCTACGATAACACTATCTATATGATGATTGATATACATATTGAAACACGAAAATTCGATCTCTTTTTGTTATTAAATTTCATAATTAGCCGGCTTCATATTTTTTTTCTAAAAGTGCTGTTTTATGGCCTATTTGCCGGAAGGAATTCATTGCTTAAACAATGATTTCAGAACTCTATAAGTAATCATAAAAGTACTACCTGCCATGGGTAAACAATGCTATTTCCTACAGTTTGGATCATCACAATTTGCCTTCCATTAATCATAATCAAGTAGACAATCTGAACATACTGCACGGCATTATGTACTTTGTTTTACTGGTGTACTGCTGACAAATTATAACTTTTAGATAATCTTGCGAAATGTTCTAGACATTCACTTTCCCATTCTGTTTATTTTTACTTTCTTTTGAATATTTATTTTACCTACATTATCTAAAAGTTATAATTTGTCAGGCCCTCTTTCAGCAGTACACCGGTAAAACATTTACCAGTTTAGCCAACAGAAACATGTGCAGTAGTAAAACAGGCTATTAGGGAGTCCAGGCTTGAGGAGCTTGGGGGTCTCATTAATGTAATAGAGCCTTGTCCTGGAGCGGGATGTATGGGGTGATTTTAAGTCAGTTGAAAGTCTGTCACTGTTGGGTGAAGTCATTTGGTGAGTTCTTTTCACCTAAAAAGAGGGTACCATTCAAATGTAATGATTTGTTTGTTTGTTTACTAGGTACAATATCTACTAAAATGGAAGGGTTACAAAGAGGAGGAGAGCACATGGGAACCAGTGGAGAATCTCGACTGTGAGGAGCTGATCAAGACCTTTGAGGAAAATAGAAAGGAAAAAGAAAAAGAGGTAAATTATTTGTCACCAACCAACTAGTTAAATGGAATTAGAAACTGGTTCTTTATGTTAAAAATAAAAGTGGCCAAAAGTTAAAAACCAAAATACATATTTCGAATGAGATTTTTGAATAAGGATTATAATAATTCAGAATACATAAAATCTCAAAGAAAATCCCTGTTTGTTTTCATAACTTGCTGTACTATTTAGTATCAATATTTCATAATATCCATATCAGTAAATAGATGTCTTATCTTTTATATTTAATTGCAAGAAAAAAACTAATGACGAGTGTGCTTATTGTTCAACATATTTTATGGTTAATTTCATTTGGTCAAATTAGCTAACCACTTGGCAAGACAAGGTTGGCAGAGTTATTAGAATTTCTCGTATAATTTTGTGTACTTTAAACTCACTAAGAGGTTTTTATTTAGTCAAAAACTAAGAAGCCAGAAGACCGTGGCAAAAAACGTGTTCGTGAGTCCAGTGAGGAGACTTCCTCTGGACGCAAGGGTCGTGGTGCCAGTGTCTCATCAGCTGAGGATCACAAGGACACCTCCAAGAGGGAACGCAAGGAAGACAAATCTAAATCTGGCTTTGACAAGGGTCTGAAGGCTGAGAAGATTATAGGTACTTGGAATTATTTATTTCTTATTATGAATTTCTCCCATATTCACTATGGGTAGTGAAGATTACCAACAGTAACAGAGTTTTTGAAATTGGCCGATTAGTTAGGCGATTAACTGCACGGTTGGCACGCAACTTGTTGCGGATTCGATTTCCGCACAGAGCAACTCTTAGTGTGATTTGTTGTTCCCGGTCTGGGTGTGACACGGAGTAAGAACAAAGAGGAGATGTTATAACTAGATTTCCCTAAGAAACACCGCGTGATATTTTGCGGGGTGAGGGGGTATTAGACTCCGCCCACTTTTTTATTTGCCATCTGCCGGTCTATAGCAAAACTACTTGCTCGTTCAAATTAATTCGTTTTGTAGTTATGTAACTATTTCGCAATAGATGTCACTAAATGCATAATGCATCAGGGTCGTACTCAGAATTACCGGGGGGTCGTAGTTTTTAATACTATATAATATTATTGGTGAATGAGGATCATTATACATTCATCAAAGCCATTTTGTTGTAACATCTTTTTCTTTTATAAGGGGAGAAACTCGTATACTATGGCTACCAACAGGCTGATGCCTTACTGATAACTGGCTACTTGCACGGATTTCGTACATTATATTATTATTTTTCATATTGTCTGGACTTGAAAAGAGGCGGACTTCTGAGTTTGTTTCGGTATTTTCTCAGAGTAGTCAGATAGGAAATGCCGGCTTCGGCTAGTTTTTTACAAATAATACGGTAAATGGCCTATTTGCAAAAAATAAATTCATTGTTTCATTGTGATGACGAGTGTGTGGACTATATTAATGTGTAATTTGGAAATATGCGTTTAGACTGGTGCGATCTTCAAACATACCGATTCAGGGATGCGTCGACGAAATAAAATACTTCAAGTTTATCTTCATAGGTCATGAATGGACAGGGCCACTTACTACTTTATAACTATTAACGGTACGTGCTTCGCTACGCTTCGTATTAAAATATAAAGTTCATTTATTAAAACAAAAAAAAAAAATTTAAAATGAGCCAAATGATAGTATATTGTTTATGTTAGTTGAATACACGTAACTATTAATGTTCAGTGTCAATTTTCCTACATATCTCCAAAGAACTAATGACTTCAAACAGGTTTCCATCAGCAGGAGTTGATCGAGGAATGACAAGCAATGTTTGGACACCACCAAAAAGCAGTCGAGTACCGCGTAAATTTTACATTATCTGATTAATTGCCTCTATTGATTTTTTTTGTCGCGATTGTGCACTCAATCCATAAAATAATTGACGTTAGCCGCAGAACTTTTGGAGTTTCAATCACCTGTACATTTAATGGCAATGTTAATGCAGATAGTACGGTCCTACCACCTTCTAATAATGTAGCAGCAATTGTCTTAATATCGCCACTTGATTTGCATCATGTGTTTTCCGGCCTATGTTTGGTCCCCTTGCTCGGAATTTTACCTTCACTCAACAACACAACAATATTTTGGAAAATATAAAAACAAAACAATAACTCAACAATATTTTGGAACATTAATGTCTTTTTGTTTGTTTTACTACTTGACAATAGATGGCTGGCTATTTGTAAAATGATATAAACGTTACAAAAATAATATTTTGGAGATTGAAGGATCTTTAGGAATGTATGTCGAGCAAATTACTGTACAAACAATCATTAAAATATATTAATACTGAACTATGCGTACCTATAAAAAATTAGTTCCTATGATACAAAGTGTCGCCATCTAGTGTCGCGTAGATTGATAATTGGAAACGCTGACAATAAGAGACATTGCTAGAACTATTTTAATAAATTTCGAATAAAATAAGGTCCACATGAGAAGTGATGCCATCAATAGTACCGTAACGTTTATCATAGTAGTTTTTATAAGATAAAATACAAAACTTCATTTTGTTTTCTTCTGTTACGAGTAAAATTAATACTTTATCGGAGTTGTGCACAGTATGAACGACCACATTACACTGACGTAAGCCACGCCCACATTGATGACGTGAGGGCCGACTTGTGTCACAGGGCCGAGTTGTTTAGGCCGTCTCCTCTTTGTTCTTACTCCGTGGGGTGTGATGTGTGTGTGAAATTGTATGTTTGTACATGCACCCACAACACAGGATAAAATCCTTGTGTCCTATCAAATCTATTCTCATAATAATATTGGTATAAGTATCATCTGTCAATAGAGGTTGAAATAACCAGGTCCATTGTGTTTGACAGTAGATAGTGATACAGAATCTTTGGTGCATTTCTAGGTGCATCAGATGCGACAGGAGAGCTGATGTTTTTAATCAAATGGGCTGATTCTGACGAGGCTGAGCTTGTGCCCGCTAGAGTTGCAAATGTCAAATGTCCTCAGCAGGTATGTATTGAAATAACTCATGTTGCTAAATTAAAAACAAGCCTACTATAATCCCAATTTATATAAGTGAAGGTATTTTTAACTTATCAATAATATTTTATTCATAGGTGATTGCCTTCTACGAAGAGAGACTTACGTGGCACACACCGGCGGAGTCAGAATGATATAGAATCGCATGTGGCATGCCCAGTATCCGATACGGCGGGGATTATTTCTACGTCCGCGCATTGGAGATTCATGAGCGTCAACGCCACATATAACACGACGCCAAGGAGTGTTGCATGCGATGGATCTACCACTTCAATAGTATTCGTAATACTGTTATTAATTTTGAAAGCTGAGATGTGGTTTAATTTATCTTAGTTAGATTCCCATGGACAGAGTCCGTATTTGTGTATCCTTGTGAATGTGTAGTTTAAGAAAGGTTTCGGCAGTAGTGAGCCATCTGCTTCATCTTTCCATCATTTGCATATCATGCTTGGTATATACTTAAAATATAGTTTATTATACTCATATGTCAGGTGGTAATCTTTGCTCTGATGTAAATAAAAACTGGGAAGTTTCATCACGATCTAAACTTTATTGTGCATAATCATTCAAAACATTTATTTTTATTAAAATACAGATCAAATTTGGATTGTGATAGAGTTCCTGTGTGTTTATTTACCAAGGCAGTTATTGTCAAAAGACTCTTTCTCACTTTTTCTTTCTTCCAATGGTTGTTATTGTTCCTTATTTTGTGTTACAACTTCCGCGAGATGTATTGTATGTTAAATTATTGTGTGTAACGGCTTACAATTGGCTGCGCGACGTTCACCGCGTCGTTTGTCGCTTAATACTGCTAACAAATATGAGCCCCAGGCGTGGCTCGAAATTAGTCGAGTTATTTCGCCAAATTATTAAATGTGAGTAAGCCGTTAAACATAGTAATAAAAGTTTTTCATATCACATTATTTAATTATCTACTAATTGAAACTTTTGTTTCGGAAACAAGATCTTTTATGTAGTTTAGTGAAGTTACCTTACCAAGAAGAAGAGAATTAATTTCTCTGTGTAAGGGTTTTATGTGATTTGGACATACAACAGACTGAAATAGGAACAGCCTTCGTTTATATTTTTGCAAGAATTCAGAGTGAGAAGCAAATAGTCCTTTCTAAAAGAGACGACTTAGCTAATGATTAAATGAAGTAAGATTTTCCCAAATTTTGTAATCATTGATAAATAGTTGCACATAGAAGTGTAGTTTTTTGATAGCTTACCTACTCATCACAAGTAAACGCAAGATGCGTTTCGTTTTATTGAGCGTCGGGAATTGGAGAATGCTCCGCTTTCAGCATGTTGGGAATTGCACGCGAGCGATGCGATAAAATGCTCGCGCGTAGTTCGCAACATGCTCCTTATAGATAATCCTAAATTATTTTTTTGAAAGTGAAGATTGATTCCAGTTATTTTGCATTGTATTGGATATTTCATACTTGTAGGCCGCTAACCTCAACTTCAAACAATCTTCAGATTCCAATAGGAAATATTTAGGTAATTCGTGATTATAAATGTTAATTTGAAACATCTTGTCGCTGTAAATGTTTTTTTATAATTCAATTCCCATGTTCTATACGTTAGTGTAACATGGATTTATAATTTAGATGTTAATTATTATTAAAATAGAAATAAAATACGAATAAATACAATAAACGGTGGTTTTATTGATTTCTTTATAGGTTTATAAATTAATATGATTGGAAAACAGTTGTTTTTCACTGTTTATATTTTATAATTATTATTGAGGTTCGTACATAAATAGTTTTTATATGTGCTTTCGACTAATTCTAGTAAGATACAAAAATAATAGACACGTAGATACATTTAGATTAACACTTATATCACTAATCTAATAAAAATACTGAAAAAAGTAAACTTATCGTAGTGAAATTCGCATCTCAGACAATCTCACAGTGGTACTACGCTCACGCATCCTTCAACTATACGAGTTCACTGGGGTGGTCCCTCAACATTCCATACAAAAAGAGAGTTCAAAGGAGAACAAACACACGAAATCAATTCGAATACATTCGTTTTAAGGTACATACACAAGGTTAGATACCCTAACTAAATCAAAAGATTTAGAAAGTCAATACTGTAACATATTGATAAGTACATAGTTCTCACAGATTACTAAAAAGTAGTCAGAGAATTCTGAATTTGACAATTTTATTTAAGTTCTCGATTATAAGATAAATAATCATGAACTCAGATGGACCATTTAAAAAAATTAACATCATACTGTATAGTATAATCTCTTCATGCTATAAATGTGAGTAAAGTATACATTTTGACCCATAAAACAGTTATTATTATAACCTTTCACATCAGTTACAGATCAATCACTAACGCAACAAAATCAATACATAAAAATTATTAAATTATTTGGTCACATCTGGTTTTTTTTACATTTGTTTCGTGTTGAAGAAACTTACACGAAGCAAATACATAGGCGGGTCGCTACGTACATAAATAAATTGCACCCATAGTGAATTACTTAAATGACTAGAGCAGTCTATTTAGAGAAAAAAGTCAGTTTTAAAAGATACATATATTAATAACATTTCGTTACCAAATAACCAGTTACGAAAACACTGGTTTTTTCGTTAAATATTACAAACAATTTCAAGTTTGTGCGCAAATAAAATTTCGATATTTTTTGATCATTAATGTACAAATATTGAATTTATATTATCGATATTTGTTATTCGATTTTCGTTGAATCGTTTTAGCGTATACTTATACATATTACTATGTACTGTTCTAAAATGTCACAACTGCGTATGATTTAATAAAATCAGTTACAATGTGATTTTACTAGTACCTCAGCTTTTGTGGTAAACAAACTCACTCGATCATAATAAAAGGTTTGTAGGGATAGCAATGCTCCGATTTTTATCGACATGCACTTTTAGTCCATCGGCGGACTGCAAAGGGCGGTTAACGATTCAGAGTGCGAGTTAACAAGATCGCAGTGTTACCGTGTGTAGCTCCCTGATTGGTTGGTTACCTAGAAAACTAGGTCAATCAGATCGCCGAACGTCATAAACGTGTCGATCGTGGTAACTTAAAAAACACAGGCACTCAAAGTATTAATATATGCTATGTTTAAGAAATAATGAGTACATTACGATACAGTACGAAGTAATAATAATTGTTAAATAATAACAAGACGATGGTTGTGCGACGCCCTTTGTTCGAACTTTACGCTTGATACTTGTAGTCGTGTTTACTCAGGCCATTGCTGAAATCGGTAAAGAAAATATTAGCGGAACATTACAAAATATTTTATCATTGTTTTGCCAACATACAGAATTTATTGTTACACATGTCTCATCATAGAATAGGTATGCAATAAATACAACAAGTGAAGCAACTACAGCTTTGTGTTTTGCCGTATGAGGTTACTGGAGGTTTCTTCTGCCCTTTAAATCCTCAAAAACCTCCTTCGTTGTTACGGGTGTCCATGGTCGGCGCCGATTGCTTACCATCAGGTAATCCGAGTGCTCGTTTGCCGTCCTATCACATAAAAAACAGATAATCTATTCTGCTATGTAAAAATTATCAATCCGACAGCTAATCACCTGAGTTGCGCGACGTGGCCCGGCGTGGCCTGTATGAGGGGCGCGAGTCGCTCGGTGAACCGCTGGAAGTTGCGCTCCAGTTCCCGCTGGTACTCGCGCTGGTCGCTGCCGATCAGGTTTTTGTTCTTACGGAGAGCGTCGTGGCATCTGGAGAGAGAAACACCAAAGATTGATATGAGCGTGCAGAATATAATTTGTGACATGCCGAGGGTAGAAACTAGTGCTTCTTTAGCATCAATTACATTCAAACATAATTAGAATGATGTCAAATTATATGTTGTAGGTTTATTCCAGTATTTAATCAATAACAGCCTTATACATGCATCTCAGCATATCTTCAGTTTGTGATAGTAACAAATAAATATTGTAAGAGTAATATTTAAATACCGACTTTATAATGCTGTAGAAAGTTGAATTCAATATTACGAAAATAATGAAAAATAAAATAATTACTTACTTTTTGGAGAAATCTTTGAAAGCTAGCCGTAGTTTGTTTGTCAATCGGGTGGGGGGCTGCGTGCCCTCGGCTACAGGAGCCAAGAAAACCTGTAAAAACGAGGCATTTTCATCAACTTGTACAAAACTATTTAATTATTCTTGTATATTTGTTACTTGATATGATTAAATCATTTGAGATAATGTCAAATTGGATACTCTTAACTATATAAACCACATTCGATCGACAGCTCCTTTAATAATGTCGTTATAAAACGCGGCGGTGTTATGTATGTATACAATGCAATTTAATTTTTAATGCCCAATGCCCAGAGTTGGAAATGATAAATATGCAACAGTGCTTAATAGAAAACGGCGCGTTTTACAAGTGCTGCCGTATCAATGTAAGTTAGGGCATTTTTATCGCGCATTAAAAATGCAAACCTTGCATTTTTGGCTTTTGCCACCCTTGCAAATAGTGGCTTATATCATATAGAAAAGACACTTTTCAAATACTGCAAAACAAGTAATTTTATTATGTTATTGAATTGAAAAATGTGTGTTTTGTTAGTGTGGCCAGTAATATTCTCTAATTTATGGCACCTGCTACCGGCTTCTCATACGTGAGGCCGAGGGTGGCCGAGGGAACCTGGCTGGTACCAACATAACTTTACGAGGACCATGTACTATCTAAGTTTATTTAGAAAACATCATGAATAAATTTGAACTTATAACTTCTGATTATAATTTTGAAATCGGCAATCCGAACAAGCGTGGTTATAAATGCTCAAACTTTCTTCGTACGAAGAGGCCTTTGCTCAGCAGTGGACACTTATGATAATAATTAATACGTTTATTACATGGTCTTAAATTACCTGTGCGAGTTCGAGGGGTCCTTGGTTGACGGTGGTACCAATACAGCCCTGTACCACCATCTGCAACATCTTCGGGTCGGCCGGCTCCTGGCTGGTGGCCGCCGCTAGCTCGTTGATCTGATAAAATGTATTGATAATACATTGTTTTGCAATGTTAATTAAGGGTTTTAAATAGTTAGAATATTTCGATTGAATAAGATAATAATAATAGAATAAGATACCTTTTATATGTCTTTGATATTTTCTTTCTTTTCTTTTTCTTTTTAATAAAACGTTGCCCCACATTAGGATTTTCTCCTGTGTCGTGGGTGCGTTTACAAACATACAATTTCACATGCACATCACACCCAGACCCGGAACAACAATCTGTGGATCACACAAAGAGTTGTTCCGTGCGGGAATCAAACCCGCGACACGTTGCGCGGCAGCCAGTTGCCCAGCCACCGCGCCAACCGTGCAGTCAAATATAATATTTTTCAGTCAGATATAATATTTTGTTTTGTGAATAGACTGGACATAACTTTCATACAAAAAATCTAGACGAGGATGGCATTTCCTATCTAACTACTCTAAGGAGAAAACGGAAACAAACTGTACGGGTATTGAGTAGTTAACTCCGTACACTGATTTGTCGTGAAGATTTGTAAGTTGAGTTAGTATAGGTAGAGAAACACTTTTCCACTTAAATAGACACGTTAAGTATATTTATGTAAAAGTAAATTACAACAGTGGAAGGCGATTATTTCTCTTAGTTGTTGATAGCTACTAAGTTGTAAGTTTACTATATTATAATATGTCCGTCATCTCATTTTATTATGCGGCAGTGCGGGGCGCCTCGTTGGCCGAAAGTAGGTTGACGAGTAAGCAAGAAAAATGTACGGCGATGAGACCGTACATATTGGCAACCCCCTAAAGAAGCAAAATTGAGTAGAGAGAGAGAGAAAGAAACGCCTTTACAAAATCAAAAAAATGAGTAAAAAAGTAAAAATAAATGTAAAATAAGTAAAATGAATTAATTAAAAGTAAACGCAATGTTGTCTTGATGTCCTTGACGTTGAACATCGCAACCGTCTGTGGGTGACCGTTGGTTATCTTCTCTGACACTTTGTTGTTGAGATCCCATTGGTTGAAGCTCGATATCTTCATGTATTGGCTTTTTATTTTTCTTCCTTGGAACTCGTGTTTTGAGTACCATGCAGTATTTTCTTGTCATAATCAACAGGAAAGTGATGACAGCAATTGTTAGCAAAAGGTAACAAATTACATATTGATGTACGTCATGGTCTGTGATAGTGGATGGTAGTTTAGGCTCGTGCTCTTCTTGGAACCGAAGCTTTTTGTCAATCTCCGCGAAGTCGTTATTCTTGAGGTGGAACAGATCATGTGGCGTGTTATGTAGTGTCACGTTAACAATGTTGTTTATCGGTGAATTCAGGTGCAGTACGTGCATGTCATAGTTCACATTGAGGTTACTGTTGTACTGATTATGTGAAGTGATGGTGAGATCTTTTGATCGCAGTACGCATCCTTGATCCAAAGTTACTATAGCCGTTGATGTGATTGTCTGCGATATTACGTCGTTATCGCAAACTGTACGTAATTCGCACCTTCCGCAACAAACAACAAGCCAGCTGTTTGATTCATGTAACTTGATCCAGTCCTCCTCGCATGACACGCTATGTACGTCACACGGTGACGTAGAAGTACGGTGACCCAGGAGTTTTGCTTCGCACGGTGCATTTTTGTTATGTAAGTTGAAGACTGGCATGTTAGCGGTGCAAATGAAGTTATGTTTTTGTCCTTTAATACACTGCTTGACATCTTCATCTTTTAATGAGATATAAGAATTCTTTTCAAAGTTTACGGCAATGTACTGTGAAGATAACTGCATCTGTTTGTAATTCGAGTCTCTCTTGAATGGTATAGCAATGGCCCGATAATATGTGAACTCCTCATCCGATATTAAGGGAATGTGAACTTCGAACATAAAGTAGTTCATTGTTATTCTCGCTTTCACGTACAACAACTTGTAAAGTTCCTTAATATCTTCTTTGATATTTTCTGTTGGCAATGACAATGTTCTCGGTAATTTGCCGGCTATGTCTTCTAGTTGTTTTACAAGATTGACTGGTGGTATCAAGTGCACGTCCATATGCCCACTGTATACATTTGTGAGAGTATTCAGAAGCATGGTTTGAATTTCTCTGAGATTTCGTAGCAGTAGGGATGCTGTGAGCGCCGCGGAGTTGAAGTAACTTGTTGCCATCGCTATCTGTATTTCAGTTTCAATGCTGACTAGGTTCGTCTTAGTTTCTTCCATGAACCTTTCTATCATTTTACATTGAAGCTTGATGTTAGCATCGTTTTTCTTCAATACGTCATTTTGCAGTTGCATAATCGACGTTTGATTTTTTGCCAATTCACGTAAATAGTTTTCGTTTTGTTGTATCGCTTCAATGTCTTTGTGGTATTTGTTAGCAAAATTTTGGTCTAAAACGCCGAATAAGCTGTTTGCTATCATGCCCACTCCGTCAATCAGGCCGCGCTTTTTGCGCGATGATAATTGCTTGTGAGGGGCCAGCAGAATTGTATTGTAGAAGTTGAGTAGGTCCATCTCATGGGAAAGTTGATCAATTGTAGGTTTGCAGTAACTTTGGTGGATCTTCTCGCAAAGGCCATACACACCGTTGATGTAACTGTCAATGTGTTGAATGCCGTGCCAGTAGTCAGTTAAATTGTAGTACGTAAGCAACGTCCATTCATCGTGAATCAGTTCAACCTTGCCAACGGTGTCATAATAAATAGGTCTCTCAGGTTCCAGGTTGGTAATTTGAGTGCCTGACCTTTGTTGGGAACCATCTGATCCATTCACAAGTATCAACATTGTGAAAAGAGACATAAATATGTTTGTAAGGCATTTTTTCATAGCTGGTATTCTTGTGGAGGTTTTTTCAGACGTCTCAGCATTTCGTAAGTCTGCTTTACTTTCTTCGTAACCTTTACTGTCAGTGTTGATCGGCAGAATGGATAGTTTTACGATGGGTCGTTTGATAACACCATTTTGGGTTTTTAAGGTTGTCACTCGGACATATCCGTCCGCTCCAGGGTGAAGTTTCAGCACCCGTCCCATGGCCCATTTTCCTGGGGGCAAATTATTGTCCCGGACTAATACGATGTCCCCTTCCCTTAAGTTTTTTCTTGGATTATTCCATTTACTGCGTGTTTGTAGTTGAGAAAGATATTCGCTTGACCAAGTCTTCCAAAACTGTTGGTGCATGTGTTCTGTTAGCTGCCATCGGTTTCTTAGATTTTGTTTGTTTTCATCAGTATAGTCAGCACGTGGTAAAGTCATTGTTGGTCCCCCCGTCAGAAAGTGGCCTGGTGTCAGGTAGTTATAAAATTCTTCGGGGTCTTCAGTGAGAGGGCAGAGCGGCCTGGAGTTCATGCAGGCCTCTATCTTGGCAAGCAGGGTAGTGAATTCTTCGTACGTCAGTTTTTGGTCTCCTAGCACTCGACGAAGATGATACTTCATCGATTTGACCGCTGCTTCCCATAGTCCACCAGCCGTCGGCCAGGCCGGGGCATTAAAATGCCATTGAACTCCCATGCCTGCGATGTTGTTGAAGAAGTCAGGGGACAAGATTTGCTTGAAGTCTTCAAATTCTTTCTGAAGCATTCTTGATGCACCGATGAAGTTTGTTCCGCAGTCTGAGTAGACGTGACTTGGTGTACCACGCCTTGAACACATTCTCTGGAAGGCTGCTATGAAGGTGTCAGTACTTAGGTCCGATACAAGTTCGATGTGCACAGCCTTTGTTGCCATGCACACGAATATGCATATATATCCCTTAGAAGTACGTACTCCTCTTCCTTTATTGAGTTTGACTTCGACGTGTCCTGTGAAGTCAACTCCGGTGTGGGTGAACGGTCGTGACGGTGTTACTCGTTGTGGTGGGAGGTCTCCCATTAGTTGGTTAAGTTCCGAAGGCCTGTGGCGGTGACAGCGCACACAGCGCCGAAGTCCAGCTTTTACAGCTCTATTGCCGCCAATGATCCAGTATCGTTGTCGAATATATGCTAAAGTTAGCCTGGCCCCACCGTGTAAAGTCGTGAGGTGAGCCTTTTGTATCAGAAGTTCAGTAAATCGCCCACCCTTAGGTAGAATAACTGGATTTTTCATTTCAAAGGATAAACTGGAGTAGTTCAGTCGACCCCCAACTCGGATTATGCCTTTGTCGTCCAGATATGGTTTAAGTTTATAAATGTTGCAATTCGACGAAATATTTTCTTTCTTCATTAATTGTTTGTATTCTTGCGCAAGTTCCGTTCGTTGCACATATTTTATTATTAGTTCCTCAGCATTGCTTAATTCGCAAAAACTGAGGCAAACGGTGTCACGTTTTGTGCTATTACGTGCATTTCCGAGAAATCGTCGTATCCATGCTACAATCCTGATTGTTTTGGTCAATGAACTGCAATTATTTAATAAGTTATGAATACAATTATTATGACTTGAATTTTTTTTTGCGTTCATTTTCGCTTGGCTTTCGCTGCCTAAGTTAGTCGTAAATGTGCATGTTATGTTTTCTTCACGACTTTGTTTTTGGAGTGTAGTCAGAAATGTAGGGCCTTGCCACCACAAGCTGAAGGTTGTTAGCTTTGATAGTGTTAATCCTCTTGAGGCACAGTCTGCGGGGTTATCTTGAGACTTTACATAGTTCCATTGCTCTGCTGGTATGCATCGTCGAATCTTTGCAACTCGATTGGCGACGTATTTTTCTCTCTTAGATGTGTCCCCCTGTATCCAGGCTAAAACCACTTGAGAATCGCACCAAACGGTCGTGGTGATTTCGAACTCATTCAGCGCTTCTTTAATTTTTTTGATGAGTTGCGAAAGTAAAAGTGCGCCACATAGTTCAAGTTTCGGTAATGTAATAGATGATAGCGGTGCTACTCTTGTTTTAGCAGCAAGTAATGTTATAGTGGCCTTGTTTTGTTCATCTCTGACACAGCTGTAAACCACGCAGGAGTAAGCTTTCTCACTGGCGTCGCAGAATCCAAATAGTTCGATCTTCTGCTCCATTGAACCGAGCCAGCGCTTAACATTTATGTATTTTACGTTGGTTATGTCAGCTCTAAGTTTCAGCCATTTATCTGCTATATGCAACGGTAACTGATCATCCCAATCAAGTTTGTTGACCCACACTTCTTGAAATATAATTTTTGCCGCGATAGTTATCGGCGATAGCCAACCCAGTGGATCGTAAAGTTGCGAAATTTCAGAAAGCTGATGAGAAGACAAAGACTCTACTGACCCAACAAGAATGTAACTTTAAGGCCATTGATCGAGCTATGGGTAAAATAGATTTTGATAACGTAAGCGAAAAATGGGAACTTGACGATTACTTGGCAATCTTGAAGTCAAAGTGAAAGCGTATTGGTAAGTTCTCCATTTTATTATGAGTTCTTGGATATCTTTTTGTAGGTTGGGGCCTTTTTCTTGTAAGCTGTTTAGGCTGTATCCCGTTTTAGTTTTCTGAGATGCATTGAAGACTACTCTGAGTTTTGTGGTAGTAGACTCTTCTCTAAGTACTCCGTGGTGTGGTAAAAAACATTCAATGGTTGAGGTTGAAGTAGGAATGGGTTTCGTTAGCTTCATGTGGCCCAACTCTTGATATTCCTTGAGGAAGTTTTTGTATAATAGTTCAAGTCGACCATTTCTTTGAAACTTTCTTTCAAGCTGCAACAATTGTGATACTGCGATATGTTTTGATTCTCCGATCTTATGTTGAAAATCCGGACATAAGGGCATCTTCACAGTGTACCTTCCATCTGAATCACGGCGAGTCGTTTCCTTGTAGTAAGCTTCGCACTGATCCTCTGGTTCTTGATCAGTGTTTTTTATGGTGACTTCTTCACTCTCCCAAAATTTTGCTATTTCAGATAAGTCTAGGAGAGTGACGTTACACTTAAAAGTTTCTAGTTTTCCACACAAAATCCATCCCAGTTGTGTCTGTTGCGCAACGGGTGACCTTGGGGTGCCTTTTAGTACTCCATCCTGGATAATTTCGGCATAGACGTCAGCTCCAAATAAAATATCAACAGATCTTGAAATATTAAATTCGGGGTCGGCTAGTTTTATGTCTTTTAAATACGACCACTCTGGTCGTTCAAATGTGTTGTTTGGGAGTTTGTTGATAAGTTTTTTCATAATCAAAGCTTCAGTGTTAAAAGTATACTCCGAGTGGATTGATTTGCATGTTATGCTTAGTTGTCCCTTACAGTCGCCTGAGACGGATCCAACTCCTGATATCTTTGCAGTTAATTTGTTTCTTGGTAGTCTCAGAAGTTGTGCTGCATTTTCAGTGATTAGGTTGACTTGTGAGCCCTGATCTACAAGCGCACGCAGGTTTATGTAAGTCCCATCTACCGTCATGACCTTAACTTGGACAGTTGTGAGTAAAACTTCCATGTTGTTGGCAGACAAATGATTAGAGCTCGCTGTTCCAGTTTCTTTAGATGGTCGTTGACCTGAACGTTGATTTTCCGTACTCGTTGAGTTTGCTATTTTATTATGAGATTTGTTATAATGCAATAGCGTATGATGATTCATATTGCATTCTTTACAAGTCTTCACAGAATTGCAGGTTTCGTTTTCGTGTCGAAATAGGCAGTTTTTGCATAGACGCAGTTTCGCAACTATGCTGTTTCGTTGCTTTGTATCCGAGTCAATAAACTGCGGGCATCGCATCAAAACATGATTATTTTTGCAAAGAGGGCATTGCCCGTATGAAGTATGGTAAGTTTTGAGTTGCCATTTTTTATGCTCGTAATTTCGAGACGCATGTTTTTCAGTCCCAGCCGCCTTTTCTGCGCTCTGTGACTCTTTCTTGGAACTTTTCATGGTTTCAAATGCTGTGAATTGATTTTCTAAGAACGTCAGAAATTCTTGTAGTGTAGGCACTTCTCTGTTGTCCTGCAAACTCTTTATATACTCATTGAAGGTGCCACAGTCTAGTTTCTGTGCCATCAAGTGCACAATCATGGGATCCCAACTAGTGATGTCAAAGCCGATGTTAGTTAGGCCGTTCAGACATTCTGTTGTAACGTCATGCAGCTTCTTCAAGTTATAAGCGTCGGGCTTGTGTATTACAGGCAACTGCAGCATCGTATTCATAAATGACGAGAATTGTAGTCGACGGTTGTCGTAACGTTGAGTCAGAATCGCCCAACATGACGAGTAGTTGTCAGCGCTAATGCTCAAGTGTTGCACCAGTCTTTCTGCTTCGCCTTTCAGCTTGGTTTTAAGATGCTGCATTTTTTGAGCTTTATTTAATGTTGGGTTTTTGTGGATCGTTTCAAGGAAAAGGTCTTTGAAAGATATCCATTTGTTGTAGTGACCCGAAAACTCTGGGATCTCGATTTTTGGCGCTGATTGTTGATGATGAGCGGTGGACCACATCTTGCTTTTCAATAGTTTTCTCGCTTCGTCATATTTGGCTTCCATGCTGTTGAACATTTCATTGTATGAGTTTTTCGATCCTTTCAGTAAGGCTTCTAGTTCCCAATGAGTGCTGTCAATACGCTCCCACTTTGACTTCAAGATTGCCAAGTAATCGTCAAGTTCCCATTTTTCGCTTACGTTATCAAAATCTATTTTACCCATAGCTCGATCAATGGCCTTAAAGTTACATTCTTGTTGGGTCAGTAGAGTCTTTGTCTTCTCATCAGCTTCTCCCGCCGATAAGTCTGACAGGTCAAATTTCACATTCTCCTCTGCAGCTTGCAATAGCTTTACCATGTCAGCTTTAGTGTTTTCGTACATGATTTTTGTCTTACCGTAGATATCGTCCATAAAATAGTTAATATTTTTATCTTCGATTTCTTGCGACAGTAGTGTATGTCTTGTATTAAAATCCACCCATTGAGCTTCTAACGATGTCAGCCGCTTGTTCAAATATTCTTTTGTTTTTCTTGTTTTGCTATCCTTGTTGTAGTTGTTGCATAATGTTTTGATGTTTTCAAAACATGCTGATTGTAATGCCAGCTTATTCATCTTGAATACAGAAGAGTTCTTCTAGTTGACGAATGCTGTGTTGGTGTAGTTGGATTCAGTGGTTGAAGAGCTTCTAGTTGTTGAAGTTCTTCTGGTAGTTAGTTGAAAGTTTTCTTCCAGTATTCAATGTGCCTGTACTCTAAATAGGTATGTGCGCCTTCTCAATCCAACTGGGGCGACCCGCTTGTGGGAGACCAATTGGACCGATTCGCTACCGTTTCTAGAGACACAAACACACCAAAATACACGAAGGCTCGAAGGACCATAAATGTACGGGTATTGAGTAGTTAACTCCGTACACTGATTTGTCGTGAAGATTTGTAAGTTGAGTTAGTATAGGTAGAGAAACACTTTTCCACTTAAATAGACACGTTAAGTATATTTATGTAAAAGTAAATTACAACAGTGGAAGGCGATTATTTCTCTTAGTTGTTGATAGCTACTAAGTTGTAAGTTTACTATATTATAATATGTCCGTCATCTCATTTTATTATGCGGCAGTGCGGGGCGCCTCGTTGGCCGAAAGTAGGTTGACGAGTAAGCAAGAAAAATGTACGGCGATGAGACCGTACACAAACAGAGGTCAGTTTCTTTTATAGTCCAGACAAAAATATATATAAATCATATATATTGAAACCGCACGACACTTTTTACCTTTTTTAAGCTTTGTTTGACGATCAAAAGTGGCTGTAAGGATCCAATTTTTATTTATTTATTATAGTTTCGCGCTTGACCGCTATCTCACCTGATGGAAAGCGACGATGCGGTCGACGATGGAGCGCGCTTACCTAGAAGTAACCTATTCACTCTTGACTTAAAGATACCCAGATTGTACGTAACTATCAGGAAACACCGACTCCGGCAAGGAATTCCACTCCTTGGCTGTACGCATAATAAATGTGGTCCCAAAACGTTTTGTACGTATATGTGGGACATCCACCATGTACCGGTGGCGCAATGCCGTACGTCTGGTGGTCTGATGATGGAACGGGCTAGGCGGAATTAAATTATGTAATTCCAACGCACATTCCCCGAAACGCAACCGGTAGAAAACCGACAGGCTAGCAACTCGGCGTCGATGCTCAAGACTTTGAAGTCTCGACTCGACAAGTGCATCATCGCCAATGATCCTCTTGGCTCGCCTCTCAATAGACTCAAGCGCATCAAGTTGGTATCGGGCAGATCCGTCCCAAAGATGAGAGCAGTACTCCATAACCGATCGAACTTGCGCCTGATAAAGTTTAAGCAGCTGTTCCGGCGTGAAGTATTGTCTAACCCTTGCGAGGATTCCCAACTTTTTTGCAGCCAGTTGAGGTTTTGCTTCGATGTATGGCCCAAAATTGAGAGTAGACGTCAGCGTTATACCAAGAAGATCAAAATGGTCAGTTATCGGCACGGATACACCCCGGAAAGTTGGAGCAGGGCTAAATTGACTCCTTTTACTGGAAAATAGACACGCCTGAGTTTTAGCTGCATTGAACCTGACCATGTTGGCATCGCCCCATTTAGAGACAGCCTCCAAGGACAAGTTCAAGCGCCCAACCATAGCCTCTCGAAGAGTCTGGATCTGTGACCCACTAGCTCGTGCGCCGGACGTGTAACTCTCAACAACAGTGCTGTCGTCTGCATACCCAAAGGTACCGGGCTTAAGCAGGTCGTTTATGTGCAACAAGAACAATGTTGCCGAGAGCACTGACCCCTGAGGAACCCCAGCATTGATGGTCATTTGACTCGACGAGCAACCATCGATGACCACACGGATGGACCGGTCCCTCAGAAAGTCTGCGATCCAAACACACAATCCAGTGGGTAAACCGAATGAAGGAAGCTTACTAATAAGGCTTTCGTGCCATACCCTATCGAAAGCCTTCGAGATGTCAAGGGAGACGGCAAGCGCTTCCCCGTGTTTCTCGATGGCCTCACTCCAGATGTGGATGGCATACGCTAGAAGATCAACTGTGGACCGATTCCGGCGATTGAAATAAATTAATTTTAATTTTTACATACCTTTTTCTGTATATCTTCAATGGCCACTTCGATGGGTGTCAGTATTATCTGGGTTCGGGACACCACCTGGAACCATAAAGTTTTATATTATAATATGTGAAAATAACTTAAAAAAAGATATTGAAAAATATAAGTAACTTAATAATGACCAGATAAAGTTACAAGAGAGATTATACTATATTTGCATCAAAAAGTTTATTTTTAAAGGTCACAGGGTCACTAAGCGGCAAGGGGCAAGCGATCTGGCCTCGGCTAAGAGCAGGAGAAGGAACAGGGTTCGAGAGAGGACGCTTGATTATTTTCAACTGCAAAAAGGGGGAAACAGTCTTTAATCTCATCCGCCATACCTGTATCCTAGTCTTGACGTACGGGAAGTGGTGTGCAGTGGTGAGTATGGTCTTCCGCTTGCATTGCTCCGCGATGTCGCCATGCGCGCGGCCCCCCACCGTGAACGGGGTCGCGTACATAAACCGCTCTGTAAGGCATAACGATATTTCCTAAGAATGTCAACTCTGAGTAGGAGCATAAAGGAAAAATCAATCAAATAATTATTTTTTAACTATTTGTTCGACACAGAAAACCGGCGTGATACAATCACAGCGTTGTGTTTCGCTGTATGAGGTAACCGACCTTAATCCTTCCCCACCCCCAATACCTCCCCAATCCCAAAATCTCCAAATCCCTAATCCCCAAAAGGTTGGCGACGCACTTGTAACTCCTCTGTTCTGCGGGTGTCGATGGGCGTCGCTGATTGCTTATCATCAGGTAGTGGTGAGCTTATTAAAAATTTTTTTTAAAGTAACGAGTAAAGTGCAGAGCTTCATTCGTATCTACACATTGGGACTAGCTTCTCTGGCGGACGAATGATAAAATATTATTCTATTTTGACGTTTCAAAAAACAAAATCCAGCTAAACCATACACATACCTTTACCTTTGTATGGTTTAGCTGGATTTTGTTTTTACGTTTGAATTGACTTTGAGTTTTATTTTTAGTTTTGTGAGTTTTGTGATATGCTATCAATGAGTAACTAACCCGAATATTTTATGATGACAAAGAAATGAATTGTGATTAAAAAGGGTAACCATGGAGTTTCTTGCTCGTTCTTCTCCATATGAGTCTACACTTTGGAACGAGCAAATAGCTTCACTAGAGGACAGAGCTACAGACTGCCAGGTTTTGGATATTTTAGCTTCGCTAGATGACAGACCGACGGACTAACAGCTTTTTGATATATTTTTTTGTTTTACGTTCAAAGTGCCTGAAATTGTATAGTTTTTGACTTTGACTTTTACCAAAATCCAGGATTTCATACTATACTTATCACTTATCAGCAAGTTATATTGTATTTCGTCCCAAAATAATCAATACAAGACTTACTGATATTATAATTCTTCTCGTACTGCGTGACGCGCTTGCGCAGTTCGTGCGGCTCGAAGTACGGCTCGACGTACGTGATCTGTATGTAGGCCTTGTCCGGGTCCAGCGTGCTCACGTCCACTATGTTCGAGTCCTTTATTATCACCACGTTGTCCGCACCGAATCGGGCGCCGTAGAAATTCTACCAAATATTCATAGGATAGCAATTTCATAGGTAAAGACCTATTATTATAATAAAGAATCCAACCTACACGGCGAAATATAAGGCAAGCTTTGTTTTTAAGTGAGGCCGTCACTCCTGTCGATCCGCTGCAGGAACAATTGTCAATTTATCTAAAACTAGCGCCCCCGGGTACAAATGTGATACTAATTTTCTCCAATATTCAATGGATGCTATATATAAACATAAAAATATTACTCTTCAATTATTGAATATCTTAAAAAAAACGCATAATAAACCATTGCGTAGTTTTAAAGATTGAATACATACGTAGGGATATAAGTACAGTGAAAGCGATGTAGTTTTTTATTATGTAGTGATGAATACATAACATTTTAGTGACTTTCAAAAAAGTGATTTATTTTAGCATTGCATTTTTACCCGATTGCAGCTAAGTCATAGGAGGATAATTTTTAAACCAATTTTTACATTTCGATCCAGGCTTGAACTAGACGTCGACCCTTCTTCGCTTCCATGGCAGTCCACGATGCCAAAAAGGAGAAGAAAGTTTCTGAGAACTTCGATTAGGCAGTCTAGTGAAGAGCTTCTTAGGTGTTACCTCAAGCCTGCTGAAGATCTCCGGCAGCTTGGTGAGAGCATGTTCCTTGTAGACAAACTCCTCCCCGTCGAGGTCCCCGAACCTGGCGCCGTAGAAGGACACGCGGAAGTAGGAGCCGAACACTCGCTTGCCGTGCAGCTGCTCTATGCGGGTGAACGCCTCGTTCAGCTTGCTGGGGGACGAACCATTCGTTTGAAAAATCTCCGTATATATATTCATTTAGCAATTGGTTAGTTTTCGAGCTCAAAAATAAATTAATTCGACGTTTGCTTGTAAATGTTTTAAGTCTATTGTTACACCTAGACTGCCACCCACTATTAGAATACTCCGTCCACGTAAAGGTTGCCTTGTAGAGATCGCTTTTAGCGATAAGGCCGCCTTTGTACCCAGTACTTTGGATTCTCTAATTTTTTACTATACATGTCAACTCTTTTGGTGTACACTAAAGCTTATTTATTATTATTATTATTTCAATACAATAAAATATTGAAAAATAAACTATACTTTTATTCATCGACCGATCGATACTCTAAATTTTAGATATTTTTAAGCTAATTTTTAAGAAATAAGTAAGCTATTTGACGCGAAAATACTATGGCGTCATAACTCAGTATTTCATACAAATATCATAGAAAAGTATAGTTTTTGACATTTGGATAAAAATATTGAATTCGACTAGTTGGAAACTGCCAAAACGAAAAAAAGTGTTTTCGATTGTTCAATAACAGATGCATAAATTAATTCAAATAAAAGCTAACTATTTAGTTACATTCACCATATTATGTCAATATAAGCCCCAAGTGTGACTTGAAATTAGTAGAGTTATCTAGTTAAACTACTCGCCATTTTTTGATAGGTAATAAAAAACTGATTGTTGTATTTGAATACACCCTGAAACTACTAGACCAATTTGAAAAGTTCTTTTACTGCTACGAACCTACACTAACCTCAGAACGCAGGTAAAACCGCGGGGCACTGTTAGTTAAGTAATAAGTGGCATACCTGTGTATATTAGCGAGTTTCTTATAGTCCCTGTGTTCCTCCGCGATGGGTATGAGGACCTTGTAGACCTCGTTGACGGTCTCATACATGCCGGCTGTCATCAGCTCGCTCGCTGCGTGCTCCAGGAGTGCCTGCACGAGTAAGGGATCTTGTAGCGATAGTTTGATGAATTTTTATATGATAGTCGTTTGCAAAACAATTATTAATTCATCAAACCCCAAGCGAACGCCGTTCGCGTACCTATTGTTCTTCTATTGTGTCTCGAATTACCACGATTGGTTAACTAGCCACTTTAGCACTTATAAATTTATCAAGAAGATGGAATAAGCCGATTGTTACCAACATTTTCATAATTATTTATTATTATATAATATAATTTGAGTATGGATGTAGGTATATATTAGGGATATAGTAACTTGTACGTTAATAATACGCACATATATACATATCTATCTAGTATGTCATAACAGACTTAAAATTAAGCCGTTTGCTTGCTTCTTGCACCGACCATTGGCTCATCTCTACATCACCTAAGGTTTGACTGGTAGAAAATGCCTTAGGCATTAAGTCCGCCTATGTACCCATTGTGCATGAAGTTTAAATAAAAAAAATAAAAAAAAAAATATTAAAGCATCAGTTACCTCTTCATTTCCATATGCCTGATCGTAAGTTAAAATTGCATATTTAATCAAGAAAAGAGAATAGAACTCCCCCTCCTTTTTTTGAGAGAAAAAATCATGATATGGTGATGTCGGAAAGGAGTGTCAGACGTTTACTGACTAAAAACCATCCCTCGCCTTTTCTGGGACCGGGCCGGGGTAAACTATTGCGCTAGCCCCTGCGACCCTGGAGAAGTTTTCCTGAAGTGGAGTAAATACATACCTGGAGTTCAAGATGCGTGAGATGATGATGCAGGGCGTCGGCGCAGCTCTCGTCGAGCGCGTTGTGGGTGACGCGGGCCAGTAGCTGCGCGCCGCGGCCGCCCCCCGCCTGGGTCTGCTCCGCCACCAGCGCCGCGCCGTGCACCAGGCACATGCCCGCCTCCGTGTGGTTCGAGCGCTGGCGGCGGAACCGTACGCACAATCTTACTACTCAAATACTCTTCGTGGTACGATAAAATACAAAACCAACACAAATTTCGCTGAAGGTCTTATTATAGTAAAACATTTTGCAAAATTACCCATTTCTATGATTTAAGCCAAGCCTTCGATTAAACGTTTCGTTCATAAAATCGTAATACAACAAAAATAATAGAAATATTATTGTCTTTCACGGAGGCAATGCATGGCATAGTGCTCCATTATCATAGTATAATACAGTAAAATATTAAACTTTTGAATTATCTTCTATGGGGTACCACAAGGTTCGATATTAGGCCCATCGCTCTTTTTACACTTGTTCAACTCTTAAATTGCAGATGATATTTTTAACAACTAACATGTATACAATACATATTTATACACCAGACTAGACTTATCAAGTTTTAGTTTTACCGTACAAAAAAAGTAATAGACCTTACCTCCATATGTTTCTGTGCCATATTATTAAGCCAGGTGAGCCTAAGATCAGGGCTGTGTTGGTATCCGCGAGCGATACGATGCATGAGGTCAAGCAACATCTCAGGGTCTTCCTGGAACTCCTTCATCTTCACCGTGTCCGATAGGATCATGTGTAGGTTGAAGACCAAGTCTTTCACCTGAAAACGATTTTTATGAGAATTTTAGATACGGCACTAATATTTTAAAGTATATTTGGTACAAGTCGATATTTTTCAAAATTTGTTAAAGAGAAATATTTTTTTACTTAACTCCATTAGTATAAACTAGCTATAATATAAAGCAGTGTACATTAATAAATTAAGTTTGTCTGTTTGTTTCAACGCGCTAATCTCTGGAATTACTGGTTCGAATCGAGGAATTATTTTTGTATTGGATAGTTAAGTCAGGTAATTGAGGAATGCTGTAAGGATAAAAACATCACGCTTCTTCTAATAGCAGAGTAGCTAGTATAACATTACCTGTTCCGGGAACGACGTATCAGCTAGATCGGAGTCATGCTCAGCGTATACGAGGATGGTCTTCAACGCTCGACGTAGCGACTCCTCGCTGAAGGTGGTAGAAGTGCCCACCAGGGATGACAGGGACATTGTCACCTGCATCTTGACGCGGCTGAAATTCTGCGAGAATGCGTTAGGAAGTCAGTGCAGTTGTAACAGGAACAAAATGATAACTTAGAAATGTAAGAAAATACAAAAATGAGAATTTTTACTAAATCATATAATATTCAGAAAAAAACACTCTTTTATATATAATTATATATATCAAACAACATATTTATATCTTATTAATTAGCCGTTACAGTAATAAAACTATGCTTAAAATTTAATCAGTTAATGATATAATTGTTATGTACTTATAAATAAACACGAAGATCTTATAATATATTATACGTACTTGTGGAAAAGTCATTTGGCAAATAAAAGACTTTTACTTTGACAATAACTTGAGTTTTTTTCTTAATATACTTACATTTCCAAGTTGGTAGTGTTGTCGCATTAGCGCATAGAGCGTGGCCGAGGCGTGTGCGCGGGTACACGCGGACAGTGCCGCGCAGTGACGGAGCAATACGCGGCAGATACCTGACTCCTCACCGCAACACGACCAGCCCAACTGTGGGCAGGTCGGACATAGTTATCAAACAATCAAAATGGTGATAAAAATATATTAGTAACAATCAAATTAAAATTGAGAAAACCTCAAAAAAGTACAAGTACAGCTACAACTTACAGCTGTAGAAATTAGTCCTAAAATACCTCCCTGGTGTACTCCTTGATTTATACATGAAGCAAGCAATTTTTTTGTATTGCATTTTATTTCATAATGCTTATGTTTAGGTTTTATTATTAAGATGCGACTTAGTTATTGGGAAGAAGTGGGAAGTTATTATCTATTAATCTTTTATTGTACAATATCTTATCGAATGCCTAAGTGAAGTCCAAGAAGTTGGGTTAACTTGATTGAAGTTTGAACTCTAATAATGCTGTTTTATTGCATCACGCGTTACTAATTAGTAGTAATGTAGGTATAGGTTTACCTTGACTATGAGTGACCTGAGAGTGGCAAACATATGTTGCAGTACTGCACCGCTTTGGTTGCGCTGCAGCGCGCGCAGTACTACCTGCAGCGCCGCGCTGCATACTGCCTGCCCACACTCCAACACACTGCACGACTAGAGGACGAGATCAAAATTTAATATTATAAATAACATTTTATTTCAAGTGGAATATTTTCTCTTCATATGCATTCTATAAAATTCCATTTAACAGTCTAAGAAATAAAAGAAAAAGAGATTATTGAAGGTAATAAAACACAATAGTTATAACTAATAGAAATTATAGATTCCTGTGATTATTTTACGAGATATAGCGATTTGCTAGCAATACAGTCAGATTTCATTAATTAAATTTTTAGTCAATAATGACAACAAGCTATAGTCTATTTTTTTATTCCTTTAACAAAATTCAAAAGTGTTAACAATGATTTTTATCGAGATATTACCGGTATTATAGCAATAACAACAAGTACAAACCTGCACAATAGTATCCAGCGCTTGCAGCAAGGTCAGCGAGACCTCGGCAGCGAGTGCAGCAGCTAGGGCGGGCTGGGGTACGGGCGGGGCTCCGCCCTCGGCGCGGGCTCCGCCCCGCCACAGCTCCTTGCGCCAGCGCTCGCGGCGACACGCACCTACACCCGACACACCTAGCACTCACTTTCATATGTCGCCCACTACCGGGACTATACAACATAACTGGTTTATTGTCTACTTATGGCTTTTGGTCATACTTTAACCCAAATATAAGTATCCACTTATTGGAAAACTTGATTTTATAAACTTACTATATTCTGCCTGCGACTTGGCCCGCGTGAAATATTGACTTCTGCAGATTTTATACCAAATTCATTCCATTCATTGTTTCATTGGTTCAGTACTTTAGGCGTGAAGAAAAGACAGACAGACACGAGTTACTTTCGCATTTATAATATTAGTTTGGATTATCAAAAATGTTTCTTTAGTCGAAGTTTCGGAAACTACCTCTGTTTTAATGGACAGATCGATACAACGCAGACAGGAATTTTAAAAGCTATATCTCAGTTTTCCTAAAAACTCGCCAGCCAACCCAATCAAAAACTTTTATGAAAACGACTTTAATCGCAAGTGGCGCCACTTGGTGAGAACTAATACGTTATTCGAAACAACACTATATCCAATCTCGTTTTTCTGATTAAACTATACAATACAACCTCACCAAGTGGAAATCGGATAGCCACAGCAGCCAAAAAGTCTCGTGATTTGAAAAAAAAACAACAATGCATAACCGATTTTTGGACATTAACATTTGTAAGGAGTTTCTTTTAACATCTAGAACTAATCAGAGATTTTGAGTATCGTCACCTATATATTCCTAATACCAGTCAGTGCGTACCTTTCCTCCTCATGATGAAGTCGTTCCGAGCTGATCCTTGTCCCAGGATCACGTCCTCCAGCTTCGCTTTGATGTCGGTCGTTTTGCGCACGTTCTGTTGCGCGCATTTCAGTATTTCTTTTCGTCCCTGTTAAATGTCATTTTTTGTTAATAAAATCTCATATTTTCTTTGAAATAATGATTGGGTGGTACTCATTGATTCGATTTATCGTAATCAACAGTTTATGTTAATTCTGTAAGGAACTGTTCTTTATACATTCGTTAAAAAAGTAATCAGTAAAATGATTGTTTTATTTATGGTTCCATACGCAAATTTTAGATTATTTTAATTTTGCCAGATTGTAGTTTGTCTTAAATTTTGCATTGATAATGAAATTTTGTACGCGGAGTCTTGTATTCTTGTGAGTAATAGTGACAGAGTTAGGATGATAAAATGAATTTAAGCGATATTCTTATAGTTAAGTTATAATATCGATTGAGTAAATGGTAGAAGTCAATGAGTTATAGTGGATGAAGGCGTGACATGAATGAATGAGTGAGAGAGAGACTATCACTCACTGATTGACTGACCGCCTAACTGAGTGAGTGAATGAGCGAATAATTAAGCCTCTGACTGCCGACAGAAAACTGTTGAAGGTAAATCCTCCGCTAACGGAGGTCACCGGAGACTCCCATGGCGTTTAACGTGTTAAATTGGTTTATAATGTGTGTGTTATTGGTTTAGAAGATAATACTAGTACCTTGTACTCCTGGCAGCGGAAGGCGAGGTCTATGAGCGCGAGCAGGGCGTGCAGCGAGTGCGCGGGCAGGTCGGCGACGGTGGCGGCCAGCGCGCCGCGCTCGGCCCACTTGAGGACCCACACCACGCACATTAGGAGGTTGCGGCTCGTCTCGCTGTTGAACGGGGGGCGACCGTTCTGGCACAATGCAAACTTCGTGTCAATTACATCATTAAGATACAAGAACTAAATAGTCAAAGCTATAACCCCAAATGTCCACTGCTGAGCAAAAATTTTTCTTACAGAGAAAATGTTTAAGCACTTCGGCACAAGTGGGACAGCTTCACCGAAATGATAGCAATAGACAGAAAACAGGCGTGCGTTGCCTATTTATTTATTTGAGGAGGAAAAATCATTAATATTGTCTTTTATCGCCTAAAGTATGGCGAATGGGAGTGTCAAACTTTTACTGATTAAGCTTGCGGGGGCAAGCTCGGGAAGCGTGCATTCTATGTTGGATTATAACGTTCAAACGTACAAATGGTCTAATTTAAATAACTGATTTGACTTTTCAAATTGGGTACTTTCCTAGGTCAAAAATAAGTTAATTCGACGTTTCAATACATTAAAATATTGAATAATAGCTATACTTTTATTCATCGATCGATCAATACACTCACACCCGGTTTCCGAAAGGCCGATCAATGTTAAAATCAATATAATCTCTTGTCAAGTCATCTGATTGGTTGACTGAATTATCAACAACCAATAAAATGACTTGACAAGAGATTTAACAGAAGATTAGTTGATTTTAGCGTTGACAAGCCTTTCAGAAACCAGGTGTAAGTTTTAGATATTTTATAGCTAACTATTAAGAAATAAGTAAGCTATTTGACGCAAAATACTATGACGTCATTACTCAGTTTTTCATACAAATTTCATAGAAAAGTATAGTTTTTGACATTTCAATAAAAGTATTGAATTTGACTAGTTGGAAACTACCGTAATACATCATCATCAGATTAAGTGCCCATTGCTGAGCAAAGGCTCCTCACACGAAAAATGTTTAAGCGTTAATTGTTCGTTTGTTCAAAGGTGATTGACGATTTTAATCTTGCAATCGTGGTTATTGAAGACACAATAGATGAACAATATGCGCGTTCGTTTGTTTGGTTTGTGATGAATTAAACTTATTTACAGATTGTATTAATTTGAGTAGCCATGCTTTCGCAAACATGGCTTCAGTGATACCTGCACACAAAAATCATACGTAAGCTACGATATTGACGTTCAAAAGTAAAGGTGTAATTGAAATCTGTAAGACAATAAATATAAAAAACTGTTCAAAAGTGTTGAAGAGATACTTCTTGTCATAATGCGACCGAGAAAGTATATTTTGTTCTTACTGTGTATGTATGTATACCTGCTACTTTATTTTGTGTTTTGGCACCGAGTTGTCGTTTCTGACATACCGCTGTTAAACCCTCGATGGTTTTTGCTGGTATGTATATACAGGTTAATATGATTGTATCAATGTTGTTGTTTAATAAACGAAAAAAAAAAATAAATAAATAAATAATTATTATTTTTTCACTTTCTAGATTCCAATCCCTAAATATCATCAAATATACCGACACTCATTAACATTATTTCACTTGTTACTCTTTTAGCGCTGCAGATCTCATAAGACGCCATTAATTGCATACCGTCATGTTATTTAACTTTTAGCCAAGCCATATTATGAAAAGCAGGACGTGAAAAATACATCATTATTTGGTGAAAATATCAGGCTTCCAGGTCCAGGTCCAGGTTCAGGCATCTTCGAGTAATCGGTAACCATCATCATCTTCCTGCCCTTGTCCCGTTTTATTTGGGGTCGGCGCAATATGTTTTTTTCTTCCATTTTGTCCTGTCACTCGTCACGCTATCGCTAACTCCTCTGTCTTCCATATCACTTCTCACACAATCCATCCATATTTTCTTTGGTCTCCCCCTCCCTCTCCATCCATCCACATTTATACTCATTACTTTTTTTGTTACATGCTTTTATCGCTCCTTTTCACATGGCAATACCAAGACAAAAGGTTCCCTTTCAACTTTTCAGTCACTGGCGCCACTTTCAAACTTCCTCTAATATACTCATTTCTCACTTTATCCATTCTCGTCACACCACACATCCATCTCAGCATTCTCATCTCTGCTACATGCAATCGCTTTTCATCAGTCTTTTTCAGAGCCCAACATTCTGACCCATACAGTAGTGCAGGCCTTATCACTGACTTGTAGATTTTACCCTTCAACCTGAGGCAGCCGTGGGTCGCAAGTTGTTCCAGTGACCTGTCGCCATTTCATCCATCCTGAGTTGATCCGATGTGCCACGTCTTGGTCTATCTCACCATTTCCTTGGATAAGCGAGCCAAGGTACCGAAAATCAGAACAGGTTGGTATGGGCGTTCCGGCGAGAGCTATGGGCACAGAACTAGAGAGACCGCCAAAATCGCAGAACAAGTACTCTGTTTTAGTTCTGATCAATTTTAGGCCAACACTTTCCAGTCTTTGCCACCACACTCTCGGCAACCAGCACAATATCATCGGCAAACAGCATACACCAGGGAGCCTCTTCCTGAATGTCCGACGTCAGAGCGTCCATTATAACCAGGAAGAGGTAAGGGCTGAGAGCCGACCCTTGGTGTAAACCGACAGCCACATTGAACTTGTTAGTGGTGCCCGCTGCAGACCGGACTTGTGTACTGCAGCGACTATACATTGATCGGATCAACTGCACATACTTCCCAGGCACACCTTTCTCCTTAAGGGCCCACCACAGAACCTCACGAGGTACCCGGTCGTATGCCTTTTCGAGGTCAACGAATACCATGTGCAAGTTTTTATGTGCACCTCTGTATTTTTCGCACAACTAGCGTATAGCAACTATGGCATCCGTTGTACTACGACCAGGCATAAAACCGAATTGGTTCTGTGAAATTTCACTCTCTTCTCTCAGCCGCCGTTCAATAACTTTCTCCCATACTTTCATGGTATGCGACATTAGCTTTATTCCTCTATAATTGTTGCACTCCAGGACATCACCTTTGTTTTTAAAGATGGGCACCAAAGAACTGTTGCACCATTCATCAGGTATGGTTTCTTCCTGCAACAATTTATTGAAGAACAAAGCCAACCACACCCATCCATCTACTCTTAATAACTTCCACACCTCAACTGGTATTCCACCTGGGCCAATGGCTTTACCATTTTTCATTCCGTTCACTGCTACTCTGACTTCCTCCATACTAACCATTCTCACTAACCCCACATTCACTGGTTTATTCTCTAAAACCCCCCTCCAATTATTTTCCTCATTCATAAGTCTTTCAAAATATTCCTTCCACCTCTCTTTGATTTTGTCGTCATCCGATAGAACCATTCCACTTTCATCTCTTACACATCTTACCTGGCAAACATCCCTCGCCTTTCTTTCCCTCATTTTAGAGAGCCGGTACAGCTCTTTTTGGCCTGCAGGACTGTCTAATGTATCATATAGTTTGTCCTGGGCTTTTGCTTTTGCTATTGCTACGGCTTTCTTTGCTTTTTCGTTAAAGTATCATACTCACTCTTTCTTTCAGCTTTCAAACTAACATTATCTGTTTGTACGCACTGCCATTCCTTGAATTTCTCTTTCTTTTCTTTCAATACATTCTGAACTCCTGTCGACCACCACCATGTATCTCTATCTATTCTGCCCTTTCCTTTCGTCTCTCCCAAAATATCTTTCGCTGCATGCCTTATACACTCAGCCATCTCATTTCAGCTTTCATTTATACTTCGATCATTCATGTCTCCTATCTCTATCATTCTATCCACCACCCGCTCTCTGAACTTCTTCGCGCAGTCATTCCTCTCTAGCCTGTGCTAATTTATTCTAGGGGGCGGGCGCTCTTTCGTTTTACAATGAATTTGAGCCACTGATGTCATAACCAGGAGTCTGTGTTGTGAGACTAAGTCGTCTCCTGGGAGCACTTTGCAATCCTACACATACTTTAAGTGGTTGCGCCGAACTAGAAAGTAATCTATTTGCGTCTTATGATTACCACTTTTATACGTGGCCAGGTGTTCATCTTTTTACTGAAACCACGTATTGGCTACTGCTAGATCAAATGCAGTAGCGGATTGCAACAGTGTCTCTCCTTCATTGTTTGGATTTCCGAAACCCCATCGGCCATGTACTCTTTCAAATATACCTCTCATTCTTCCCACATGTCCATTAAAATCACCTCCCACTATCAACTCCTCATGTACAGGGATGTTCATTAAGGCCGTATCAAAATCCTCCCAAAACTTCTCTTTCACCGTTTCATTACATCCTACTTGTGGTGCATACACACTAACTACATTCAACATAACATTCTCTAACATAACTTTCACAACTATAATTCTGTCATTCATCCTATGTACTTCCATCACGCTTTCTTTCAATTTGCTATCTAACACTACTCCTACGCCATTTCTTTTTCCATCACTTCCACAGTAATAGAACTTGTATCCTTCACCAATTTCTCTCGCTTTTGTTCCTCTCCATTAAGTCTCTTGTAAGCACGCTACGTTTATTCGTCTTCTTTTCAATACGTCCGCTAACTCTCTGGCCCTTCCAGTCATAGTCCCGACATTCCAACTGGCATACCTCAATCTGATTTCCCGAGCTAACTTCTTACGTTGCACCCGCCCGGGCTGGTGCAACAACCCTGGTCCATTTCCCACAGGAGCCGGGTGCTGCCCCTGCTCGCCTGCGGGGTACGCCCTTTTTTTTTTTTGTCAGGGGAAAATCATCCAATGACTTCTCCCGCCCAGGGTAAGGCGAGAGAGAGTGTCAGACTCTTACTTAGTCAGAAAACCCCCCGTTCCTTACCCCGCAGCCCCGGCATCAGCCCTATAGGACCCCGACTGTGGTGGTCTATTGGCTCTTTGAGGCGCGCGCGGAACGCTACGCGCCGTACGCTCGGGGCGGGGTACGCCCTAACACTATCGCGCATTCCATTCATAACTGACGTATTGCTTAGAGTTTTGGCTAGTATTTTACAGTCGGCCGCCTGCCTGACGCTAACCCTCCTTGGGAATGCTATTGTTGGTAGTTTAACCGACCCCACACGGTGACCTAAAGTGCTTATTAGTAGGCACGGCCTTAGGAAATATGCCTTAGTCGCCTCTTACGACACCCACGGGAAGAAATAGGATGGTGGTATTCTTAACGTCCGGCACCATACAGAATCGAGTAATCGGTAACCAAATAGAGTAATAAAAAAAATATATAAAAAGAGATCGCGACGAATTGAGTACCTCCTCCTTTTTATTGAAATCGATGATAAAAGGGCACTGCAAACGAATGCAATTAAAATTGCAACTGAAAAAAAGCTTGAAATGAGATTTGATAAAGTTTTAGTGGGAATACACATAAATAGAGCATACCTGTTTAAAATCACCTTCGGGAGACGACGCGGTGTAGAAATTGCTAAAGTGTCCGATTTCACTGTCCAGCTGCAGTACCTCTGTTCAGAAAACGGATTAATTATATTTTTAATCACACAGTATATTGTTGAAGACAAGTCCTCCGCTCCCGTAGGTCACCGGTGACCTCCGTGATAGTTAACGTGTGAAATATAAATTGTAATTATATAAACTAGCTTATTTAGCCATTAGACTAATGGCCTGGATGGCCTAGCTATTTCATTTGTCAATAAAACCTTTTTTATTTATAATATAATTGGTGGTGATAATTAGTACTTACCTTTGTTAGTAGAGAAGCCCCTGTAGAGTTGGGGATGCGCGTCCATGGCGATGCCGAGTAGCGGCAGGTAGAGCGCGGCGACGCGCGCCTTCACGTCGGGCGCGGCCAGTCGCGGGTCCGCGTCGTGGGCCCACAGCAGGCACACTACACTCGACACTGCCGCGCACTGCAGGACTGGGGACCTAAAGGGAAGGGGTTAGAAGTATAATGTTTTACTCTGTACTTGTTCTGTTCTGTACTATCCCCGGTTTGTATTGAAATAAGCCGGGTAAGTCATTTAAATAGACCAAAAAGAGGAAAGGACCTAATATCGAGCCCTGTGGTACACCCATAGATATGCTAGCACCCTGAGAGTTTACTTTATTTACTTGTACTTTGAGTTGCCTATCCAGGTAGATATGATGTTAATAAATTGAAAGATGCTTATCGGTTGCTGTAGTGTTTTAATTTCATTAACAGAATCTTGTATTCAACGCAATCGAAAGCCTTCAACATATCACAGAATATTACAATAGCTTCCTATGACTTCTCACGAGGCGAAAACGTGTTTAATTAGAGTTCCACCGGCGTTACTCGTCAGTTGGGCATCGTTCCTTCGTAAACCAGTATTGTGTAAAATAGATACCGGCCTACAATTGGTGGGTATTACATTATCGCCTGATTTAAGCAGCGGAACTATTTTACTATGTTTCATCAAATTTGGAACTTCTCCCTGATCTGCACTTGTGATTATAAATGAAAGCTAAATAACGCGATATAGCTTCTATAAAAGATCTACACACCACAACGAACATTCCCCATAGATTCTCTGTAGATTTAACTTTAATATCTTTAAACGCCTTTATTACTAACTAGCTTTTGCCCCCGACTTCATTCGCGTGGAATAGTGTCTTCCTGCAGATTTTTGGTATAAAAACAATCCTTTGTCCTTACTCGAGTTCCAAATTATGTGTGTACCAAATTTCACATAAATCGGCTCTGAAGTAAAGGCGTGAAGAAAAGAAAGACTGAAAGATAAACAGGCAGACAGAGTTACACAGAAACTTGAATCTGAAAATCAGAACGGCATTATTTGACATTTCTTTTGAGAAGTCCAATCGAAAGTGCCGGAGATGATTCCAAGTCAAAGAAAATTTAAAATATGAATACTTATTAATAATTATTAATTAGATAATTACTGGTTTTGTAATGTATTATGTCTTAATTTAAGACACAAAACCAAACAAAATCATAAAAACAGTGATTTTATTTATTACTTACTGTAGCTCCAAAGCATTCGTAAGCTCAGTAAGCAGCAAGCCGGCAAGATAGTGTCTGGATCGGAACTCATGTCCCAGGGTATGTCGAGGCGGCGCACTAGATTGCGAGCCCAACGACTGCCACGAGGCGGCGGGGGACACGCCCCCCGGGGCTCCGCCCAGGGGCTGCGGCAAGTTCAATGACACGTAGTGCTCGTGGGAGCAGATTATGCGAAGAAACGCCAGCTGTGGACAAATAATGATAACGTTTATATAATATGCGGGTATTTGGATGGCATTATGGTACAAAATATACTTGCCGAAGTGAGACAGAGCGTCAAGTTAGCATCTACTTAAGTGTATTGGGATTGTGCGTTGGCAACACTATGAAGCTGTCATAGACAAGTGACAGCTATCTACATTCAAGCAATTTGGTCGATGGACCTGCGCTTTTTTGAAACTAGAGACCGAACCGAGTAGTTGCGCCAACGTACAACCGACTTAACCGCGTTCCGCTTGCAACTGGCCATTGTTTGTTACACGGTATCAATAATAAATCAAAAGAAGTAAAAATCCTTATTTCATTTAATTAAGAGATGAGTAAAGCTAATACACCTCGAAAGAATCGTTTTTATATCAAAAAATATTTACCTGAAAAGAGTAAATGAGTGTTGCAAGTTGCATATAAAGTTTTAATGATTTTTCGGATCACAGACGAAATATAAGTTCTAAACTAGTCTTTTTTATTACGTAAAAAATCTGTTGTCCACTACATAATATATATTATCGTATCCGTTACACAAAACAATTTCTTTTTCGTCTGATGATGATAGTAATAACAAAATGTACCTTATAGTGAACGAGGGGCACAGCATCAGGCAGCGAGGCTATCTTAGCGCACATCTGCTTGTAGTAGGTTCGGATCAGGTTGAAGACGTAGCCGCGGTCCATCACGCTCAGCAGCTCGAACAGGAAGAATGCCAGGCTGTTGTTCAGGCTCTGGGTTAAGCGACTGTCCTTGCCGTATCTATGGACATGGAAAAAAAAGATTGTTTCTTGAGATTTCTTTTTTGTATCGTGTCATTTTCAGTTCCAATGTATGGTTTTTTTTATATGATGGGAATATCATCAAATAGCTTCTCCCGCCCAGAGCGGGGCGGGAGGGAGTGTCAGACTCTGACTGAAAACCCCCGTTCCTTCTCCTGCTCTGTGCCGAGGTCGCAGTGCCTCATTGCGCTTACCCCGCAACCCCGGCTGAACATCAGCCCTATGGGGCCCCGACTGTGGTGGTCTATTGGCTCTTTGAGTCGCGCGCAGAACGCTACGCGCCGTACGCTCGGGCCTGGTTCTGGTCGGGCGGCGAGCTGCCCTTACTCGCCGACCGCAGGCCCGCGTCCAATGTATGGGTTGGGATTTAAATTAGTTAAAAACTTTTACGTTGTTAATATCAACTTCCAATCTTGTATTAACAATTGAGGCAGTTGTGGTAAATGAAAAATTGTAACTAAAAACAACCTTAACTAAAATTATTTTTTGACAACACTTAGATTTATGTATATCAAAGTGAATTAATCAAACCCAAGCGAACGCCGGCGTTCGTGAACATATTATTCTTCTATTGTGTCTCGAATAGCCACGGTTTACAACCGTGGCTAAATAAAAACATTGAAATGATACGAATAACATTGTAAAAAGACTTTACAATATAATGTTTCTGATTCTGGTATCATATTGTTGAGTGCCGCAGATCTGCAGGAACACATTCCAAAAAGAATATGCAATTGACATTGTATTTTCTTTATCCATATTCTTGATTTAAAAACGTAGCCCCACACTAGGATTTTCTACTGTATCGTGGGTGCGGTTACAAACATACAATTTCACATACACATGACATTCAGATCCGGAACTAATTGGTTGATCACAGTGAGTTGTTCCTTGCGGGAATCGAACCCGTAATACGTTGCACGGCAGCCATAGTTGCCCAGCCAAAGAACCAGCCGTGCAATCAAATACATGATAAAAAATTAATAGAGACACCACCCACCTTGAGATGATCTCCGTGGTGACGTTGTTAACGAGCGTGGTGAGGTCATCGGTAAACTGGTCGGGGAAGCGAGACTTCCGCCTCGCCTCGTGAGCCCCGCTCCAGTATAAATATTCAACCATCGATTTTATCATCAACTCGAACAGTGCCCTGGAGGGTGACAGGACACATTATAGCTTTATTAGTTTCAGCCCACGGCTTTGCCTGCAGTACAAGAGCAAAATGTATTATTCCAGAATAAGGTATTACCAGGAGTTCTGCATGGCGAGGTCCCTGGTGGCTCCGCTGGCCACGACCCACTGTAACGCCAGCTCCTCGTGCAGGATCTTACAGGACCCGTCCGTCATCACTGAGGACAAAATTCAAAATTGTTGGCGACCATGTTAGTTTGACGTCGTGACGCTGACATCTTGGTGGCTCGGAGGTTAAGTCGGTTCGGGTGGGGTCGATATCTGGCAAGTACCAATGTGCCTTTTCCGCGTTATTGTACTTTCTAGATTTATTTAGACACCACTGACATATGGTGAAGGAAAATATCGTGAAGAAGGAGTGGGAGAGCCATGTTTCAGCACAAATGGGTCGGCTCGACAGGAGTGACACCACGCCCTCACAGAACCAGCGTGAAACGACCACAGCGTTGTGTTTCACCGTGCGAGTGAATCCCCTCCCCTAACTCTAACTCCTCTCTTGCGAGTGTCCACAGGCGGCGCTGATTGCTTACCATCAGGTAATCCGTCTGCTCGTATGCCGATCTAATATATAAAGACAGACTTTATGCAGATTTTTGGTTTTACAAACTATCCTATGTCCTTTCTCGAGTTCCAAACTATGTCTGTAGCGAATTTCAAACAAATAGGTTCAGTAGTTTAGGCGTAAAGAAAAGACAGACACACAGAGTTACTTTAGCATTTATAATATTTGTTTGGATTTGGATAAAAGTTTGAAATTGCCCATTCGTCTTAAGCGAGAGTGGTGATTACTGGATGTAGTAAAAGATATCAGTATAGTTAGGGCATACCAGCGGGGGGCAGTGGCAGGCCGACGTCCCTGTCAGTGAGCGAGGGTCGCGGGATGGTGCACTGGTACTGGATGTACGTGGTGATCAGACCACTGCGGCCGTGGTTGTCGCAGGTCGCGCCTTCGTTCATATTCTGGAATGATAATTTGATAATTATTAGATAAGTATTTAGATTATTATTCGGTAGTATTGGGTGGCAAATATATTAATTTTGTTTCTTTCTGTCCTGTTTAAGAAAAAATCTGTATTAGAAAGACTGGAAGTTCAACTGAAATAGGCAACGGAGCGATCTCTGATAAACATGAGACTAAAATTGCTATATTGCCTGCAAAATTACTACACTAGACTGTTAAGAGCTATTTATTAATTGTAATGGGAGTGATCGCTGTTTTATTCGTAGCGAACGCAAGTAGTCATTTTTTTAATTATATTTGTAGAATATCGAAACATAGTTATACTCTCATTAATTAATCAAACAAAAAGCTTAATTTTCGTAGTTTTAGTTGAAATGAATTAAGTACGATATGTCAAAAAGTGATTTCGACATTGTTATAAATGTCATAGAAATGAATGAATTTCGATAGATTTTAAATGGTGTGGGACTAGCTGATTCCTTATTGGAGGAGAAGAGAGTTTAATATCAGCGCCATCTAGTGAGCACAAAACAACAGCCAATTGGAACTTTAATAAGTACTATTATCGTTGGTGGTTCGAACTCTGTAATACTATTGACATGGGATAAAAAAACACGCCTCTTTGTATTGTTCACATAAGTAATTATAAAAATGGAGCAAACTCACGGATATGTCGGTAAAGATGTGAGCTAGACAGGTGAAGACGTCCTGCGCGATGTTGAGTGTATGTCCGGCGAGTGAGGGGGGCGCCACCAGCAGATGCAGCAGCTTGTCCAGCAGTACGGGCAGGTAGCGAGACACTGTCTCCACGCTCGCCGTCGGCAACTCCGTTATACTGGGGGAGGATGACGGGGGATTATATCCTAATCACTTACATTCCACAACTAATGTCATATTAGTGCTTGTAAAATCTTCACTTTTTGACCCGAATGTGAATTCAGACGGGTTTGCCAGGGATGGGCCGGTTCGATCGGAGTCATACCACAGCCTTACATCAAACCGGCGTGAAACTGAGGTCACCGGAGGTCTAATCCTTTTTCCCGTCCCCAATACGATAGTTTCCAACTAGTCAAATTCAATACTTTTATCCAAATGGCAAAAACTACACTTTTGTATGAAAAAGTTAGTTATGACGTCATGGTTTTTTTGCGTCAAATAGTTAAAAAATTAGCCCAAAATTTTCAAAAATTCAGTGTATCGATCGATCGATGAATAAAAGTATAGTTATTTTTCAATATTATATTGTATTAATTCGGTACGTTCAGAGGTCCGTCTCTTTTCAACCAATTTGAGATAAGGTTTTCTTGCCAATCGAGTATTGGCAGTATATTACGATGAGTTTACCTGGCTCGTAGCTCGGCCTCCATGTTGGCGAGTCCGATGCGGGGAGGTATGTTGCCCTCCTGTACTGCCTCGCACGCCATCGCGAACCGCTCGATGTAGCCGTCCTGAGCAATGAATAAACGAGACATTATTGCGATTAAGAATTTAATAATAAGATAACGTAATAATAAGCGGGTCTAACTCAATAATGTTATAATGTACCGCGGCCCAGTCCTGGAGCAGGAGAAGGCACGAAGTTATAATTAGTCAGTAAGAGTCTGACACTCCCTGTAGCGGGTACCCACTCATTTTTTTTTTAATGTAGGCTACTGGGTTTCGTTCACTAGATGGCGCTTATCTAAAAAGCTAAATCGTCGTATAGGACGAGTGTAACGTCAAATAGTTTGACTAACTCCGTAATGGCTAAGAGGTTTTGACGTTACCAGTACCTGTTTGGTTGGGAAAAAATGATTTGCCTTTGAGGTCCACACTAGCGTTATCTGGTACGCAAAATATTGATAATTGTCGTTTCAAATTATCTACCCACTTTATTTAATTTAAAGGTAAATGATCTGGTATTAATCTATACTCTATAACTATAAGCTACTTTGCTAAAGAGATACGATTGTAGTCTAGAATAAAAACAGATCATTTTTTACCTTGGCACCATTAGTAGAAGTTAGTCCTTTTTAAACTTACCAGTGGATGTACAGTAGTATGTGCATCTAGCGTGATGTTGAAGATGGGCTTATGGTTGTCTATCCAGCGCGTGCCGGGGAGCTGGACGTCGGGGAAGATGTACGAGTAGTTGGGAGGGGGCTCCTCCAGCATCACTGGCAGACTGAAGTCTCCGCACGTCAACTTGCCGTTACGGCATAGAGGGAGCCACTGTAGGAAATTGGCGTGTGTTACACACATAATTATAATTTATTAAATCTTCTTATATATAAAAATGGATCGCAAAATGTGTTGGTAAGCGCATAACTCAACAACGCCTGGACCAATTTTGCTAATTATTTTTTTGTTATGTTTGTTATTGTCAGGAGAAGGTCCTTATAAAAGAAAATATTAGAAAAGTAGAGGGGAAGATTAGGAAAAAGTGACCCTTTGATAGCGAGATAGTTGGACCCGTGCGAAGCGGGGGCTGGCCGCTAGTTTTAAATAAAAGACTTTCTTGGTATATTAATGTTATTTTATATGTTTGGTTCGTAATTTGATCTTCCTCGGATCGGATTATTGAAGTTTTTAGATTTTACTAGCAGTTAGTTTCTTTAAAAGTACTAGAATATTCCAACAAAAACACAATAATATTCGAATATAACTAATAAATCTAATAATAGTGTATCCATTCTGTGTGTTCCATGCAAATTTTACAAATACATATTTTTGTATCTCACAGAGTATCCGACGGGAGTCTCCAAGTTTTTCTCCTGGTCAGGCGCGACAGGTTTCCTCTGGCAGGAGACGTGGAGGAACGTGAACAGGAGATGGTGCTGGTCGCCCAGGTCGGCTGGTAACTTGAGCTTAATTTCATCGTAGAGAGACGGGTTCCTGATAATACAATAGAAAATATGAGCTAATATAATAAGAAATAATTTTGCAAAATGGGCTAGCTCGGAGTGATACCACGGCCTCACAGAAAACCAGCGTGAAACAACAACATTGTTGTGTTTGCGGAGTAAGGTTACCGGAGAGCCACTTCTCTCCCCCATCCCTTCGAAATCCCTAGATCTCCAAAACCGTAATCCCTGGGCCGACAACGCGCTTGTAGCTTCTCTGGTGTCTCGGGAGTCCATGCGAGACGCTGATTGCTTACCATCAGGTATTACGACAGCTCGGTGGCCGCGCTGTCACATAAAAGTGATACTATAGCAATGAATACAAAAAGGTTGTTATTTAAAAAAAACTGTTGTCATACTTGTTATGGTAGAGAACGGTGGTGTAGGCCTCGTTTGTGAACTCGGGACAGGAGCTGCGCCCGAATATAGCCGGCAGGGCGGAGCCCTCGCTCTCGCCTGACATCAACTGGATGCGTACCTAGGCGGGAGGGATGACTTGGTATTACAAAATGTCACATCTAATGCAATGGGGTTGTGCAATGCAGTCTCTTGATAGGCCAAATACACTTTACTTGATTTAAATGAAAGTTAATAGTTGACGATAATAATTTGAATTGTAAAATATCGTAGCGTGATGTTTTATAGCCAATGGCACTCAGGAATATTGTAGCTATATCAGTATCTATCAGTGAAAGAATTCTGGAAATCCGACCAGCTGTTCCAAAGATTATCCCCGACATACAAAGTTACAAATTTTACCTCTTTATAATATTAGTATAGATAAACTAACATAAAATGAATTGAGTGAACTGTACGAGTGTGAGTGCTAATGCGAATTATGAGTACGCACGCTGGTCTTGGTTGCTCGATACGAACTGAGTTGAATAATTAGGTAAATGAATTACGAAGGATAAAAATGCTGACAGTTGCACCGTACACGAGCAAAACATACATTTTAATTGTTGTTATATTTGATAACTGAAGTTACACGGCCATATAGAGATCCGGCGTGAAACAACGCTTTCGTCGTCTGTATGAGTGAGGTGACCCGAGGCTCTCCTATTCCCATCCATCTCAATTTCCTACTAGGTACTTGTTTATCCCCTAGTATGATGGGTCTCACTCCGCAAAAGCGGTTGCTTACTGCAGCAAGGCTCCCCCATACTTAACGATTACATAATTAATTTGATAAAAAAAATGGTTAGTAAACCCTATATGTCAAGGTGAAGCCTTTGGTATTATAAAAAGTTTATAAGAAGTTGCACAGCAACTATGACTAAGCTTCAAATTCGAAAAATAATCAATATTTCAATATTTAAGTGTGGGAGAGTTAAGCTTCGGCACGAATGGGTCGGCTCGACCGGAGTGATACCACGGCCTCACAGAAAGCCGGCGTGAAATAACCACAGCGTTGCGTTTTGCCGTGTGAGCGAGATTACCGGAGGCCCAATCTTTCCCCTCGCCCGATCTCTCCCCAATCCCTTAATCTCGAAATCCCTAATCCCTAAAAGGTCGGCAACGCACTCGAAATTCCTCCGTTGCGGGTGTCCATCCGTCCGTAATCCGTCTGCTCGTTTGCCAACTTATTACATAAAAAAACTGCTTACAGTGATATTCCGGGCGGATCCAGTGCGGCTGGTGTAGGCGTTGAGGTTGATCTCCTTGACGGCGAGGTAGAGCAGGCTGCGGTACTGGTAGTGGGGCATCGCCGGGGCCTGCCACGGGAACGGCAGGATCTCCTTGCATGGACGGACGTTGTCGTCTGCAGGGACAGAATCTTGTTATTTACTTCCATGTTTTTTAGGAATCTACTGAGAACATTATTAAGGATTTGAGTACGAATGGTGTGTTTTTGTTAGGTTATTTGGCAATCCTGGGTGCTATGCTATAGCTGATAAGCTTGATCGTCCCATAAAGTAGAAATTAGTACAGGACTAAGTCCTTGCTTACTATTACTTATTACATTTGTTTTTATTTTAATTCTTAATGGATCTCAGTGATCTGAATTAATAAACTTATTATTATTATTCTATATATTATGTTACTTATAGTAAGTACGCCAGATGTTTTTCTTTGTAAATAGACCTCATAGTAGCGCTTTCATGACGCGGTAATAACGTGGAGCTTAAAAAGGTTGGTTTTTTTTATCTATATTTAAAAACAAATTTTTCTTAATCAACTATTTAATGAAAAGACTGTCGTATGCACGGTTTCCGAAAGCCCGATCAATGTTAAAATCAACTAACTAGGTGTCAAATCTCTTGTCAAGTCATCTGATTGGTTGTTGATAATTCAGTCAACCAATCAGATGACTTCACAAGAGATTAAATTGATTTTAACATTGATCGGCCTTTCGGAAACCGGGCGTTAGTCTAGTGGATTCGCGATCGAAGGGTCAATATCTACCTACCAAAATCAAGTTATATGGGAGCAAAGAATAAGTATCTAAGCTTTTTATACTTTATTATATTTTTACAGCAGCAAGAATCATTTAACCAAATTTCAGCTGTCCAGTTATCCACAGCTGAAGAAATACAGCCATTTGGAAGACAGGTAGTCTTGTCCCGTTTTTACCCTAAAATCTTAAAGAACGGGAAAGCAAACATCCGATATTACTAAATTAACAGAAACTTACCGCCATAAGGATGTAATTTGGCAAGCTCTGGCGTCAGTCCGTTCTTCAACTCCTCGGGACAAGGCGAGACCTCAATCTTCAATGTGCCAGGGATGCACTTGAGTTTCTTAGGAGCTGAGCTGGGGCGTTTAATCTCGGCCAGGAACTTGTAGAGGTCTTCATCGCGAAGTTTATCTGTCTCCTAAGGAAATATTGCTTTGTCAATATCATACAAATATGTTACAACTTAAAGTAAAGGCCTTTTTTGTCAGGAGAAAATCACAAATGACTTCTCCCGCCCAGGGTTAGGCGAGAGAGTGTCAGACTCTTACTACCTAAAAACCCCCCGTTCCTTCTCCTGCTCTGGGCCGAGGTCGCGGTGCCTCATTGCGCTTACCCCGCAACCCCGGCTGAACATCAGTCCTATAGGGCCCCGTCTGTGGTGGTCCATTGGCTCTTTGAGGCGCGCGCAGAACGCTAAGCGCCGTTCGCTCGGGCCTGCGCCTGGTCGGGCGGCGAGCTGCCCTTACTCGCCGTCCGCAGACCCGCGCTTACGGTGGCCGGAGATCATCTCTCGATCCCCGATGCTCGGAATGTCGCCTACTGCGGCGGCTGGGGCGCGAGGAGGATAGTTCCCTCACGCGCTCCGCCTCCTCCTTTGCGAGGAAGTAAAGGCCTAAAACCCCACCGCTAATTGTGATTTACTATCACGCGATTTTTTGTCACTAAGTTGATTGCAATAGTAACCATGGAGTTTCTTGCTCGTTCTTTAACATTGGAAAGCTACACTCCACTCACACTGTAGACTTTGGAACGAGCTAATAAATTCCCAAAACTCTAATCCCAAAAAGATCAGTAACGCATTCGTAACTCCTCCGTTGATACGGATGTCCATGGGCGGCGCTAATTTGCTTACCATCAGGTATTCTGTCGGCTCGTTTGCCGTCTTATCACATAAATAACACAAAAACGAACTTTAAGTAACTCTGAGCATTAAAAAAGATTCCTGTAAAAAGATGACTGCTGTAATATTTACAGGTTTGTAATCAATAACAAGCTTCCAACCGCGGGGCTTCGCCCGCGTGGTGTGTTGATAAAAAGTAGCCTATGTCCTATTCCGGAGTATATCCAATGCCTGTGCCAAATTTCATCCAGATCCGTCCGGCAGTTTTGGCGTGATTGAGTAACAAACACAAACATCGAAACATCGTAACTTTCGCAATTATAATAATAGGTCTTTACCTATGAAATTGCCATATTTTAAAACAAAATTAATTAGCCTTAGCCTCACAAAAACTATTTTGATTTGAAATGGCCAGTACTGCAGAACGGCAATTTCATAGGTAAAGACCTATTATTAAGTAAGACAACTAACCTGTTTAAAAAAGCTAGTGACGGTAATAGCGATGGGTTTGAAGGAGTCCAGCTGGTTGGCGAGGTCGTCCGCGTGATGGGTGGGCGCGCGCCTCTCTATGGAGCCCTTGCGGGTGAGGGACCCTCCCACCTCGCCTGCACGACGACGGAGCTGTTCCAAACTGCTGGATGATGCTTTACGGTCTGCGGGAGTATGGAGAAGGTGGAGATGACATATGAACTAAATATAAAACTTATTTTAACCTATATTAAATATGTTCTTTGTTCAATCGGCGCCGTAGCTTAGCTTAGCTCTCCCGAAAATCCTATCATTAAGGGCTTATTTTTCAATTGTAAGATAAAAGTTATCTTGGGAGTATTTATGAAACTGTCGCGTCAGAATGTTTTTATAAGACAGTGACCGCAACAATTTTATTCCTCAGATAATATTTATCTGAATATCAGGTATAAGAAAATTAAGAAACATTAGCATTGGTAGAGTATAACAACATTGCACTACTGATCCCTGACTGTGATTTATATATACATAAATATATATATTTTTGAAAAAAATCAACATTAAATTATACATGTAATTTTTAACACACAAGTGAGTACAATTATAATTTGGTAGCAAAACTAATTCTGTATAAATAGAAAAATAAATACAACATAAATATATGAATTGGTTTTAAATCAAAGTAAAAAATTCGGCGGGATTTTAGGGAAAAAATACGTTGATCTGGGAATGGAATAATGTTAATGTAAGGTGAAGATGGAGATAATGACGATGAAATTTTGAAGCAGTAAATGTTAATAGAGGCCAATTATTACCAGATGCACCTTCTGCGTCAGTTCCCAGGTCAGCGTTGAAATTAAGCACAGCAATTAATAAAGCAATTTACAGTTATATATTATATTTTTATTAAAAAAAACGTTGCCCCACACTAGGATTTTGTCCTGCGTCGTGGATACGTTTACAAACATACAGTTTCATATACACATCGCACCCAGACCCGGAACAACTTTATGTGGATCACACAAAGAGTTGTTCAGTGCGGAAATCGACTCCGCTACACATTGCGGGAGAGCCAGTTGCCCAGCTATCGCACCAACCATGCAGTCAGTCGTGTTTGAATTAGTGTTCATGTTAGTTTTATGTGTGACTTAATGACCCGCTTCTCAAGATTGAAAGTGCGGGATTGAAACATGGCAAATACCAATGTAAAATTTCCGAGTTATAAGCACTTTGTATAATTATAAAGATTTTTTAGACTGTGAATTAAAACTTCTTGAGAAAACCTGGGCTTATATTTAGAAATTTGAGTTTGTAATCGCCAATTTGTCGTAAGCAAGTGTGGCGATCAGTGCTCAAATTACCCGTCTGAAAATAAGCTTTTTCTCATCAGTTACTACCTGACATTGAAACTACTTTTTCTTATTTGAGATTGGTTTTTCAGCTGGATGTTAAGTAATAATCACCATATTTGATTAACTTTACAGCCTACTTGTATGGTAGACATTTTGTATTAGAATTTGAACCGACACGGTAATATGTACTAGCCCAGGTGCAGAGTATATTTTGTTAAATGTATTATGGCTCTGTGTTTAACTCAAAAACTTCTTTAGTGAAATATGCCATATAGTAGTATAATAATATACATTCATGCAGGAATGAGAATACTGTTTTATAACATATAAACGGTGAACAAACAGTAAAAAAGTGATATATTAAGAATGGAAATGAGATCACAGCTTAAAATAACTTCCATCTTAACTACATAGTATAAAACAAAGTCACTTTCTCGGTCTCTATATCTCTATGCATGCTTGATCTTTTAAAACTACGCAACGAATATTTATGCAGTATTTTTTTAATAGATAGAATGATTAAAGAGGAATGTTTATATGTATAATAACATTCATTACATAGTGGAGAAATTTAGTATCAGCAATTCACCCATGCGAAGACAGGGCGCTAGGATGAAAATTAATTCCGATTTCCCATGGCCCAGGCATCACGTAAAAAACGGATAGCGGGATGCTGAGCTGATAACAATTTTTAACTTTATTTGTTACTAGCAGCTCGCCTCTGCTTCGCACGGGTCTCATCATCTCGCTTACGACGAAAGGGTCCCTATTACCCATCTCTCCCCTCTACTTTTCTAAAATTTTCTTTCATAAGAACCTTCTCCTGACAATAACACACATAACAAAAAAGAATCAGTAGAATTGGTCCAGGCGTTATTGAGTTATGCGCTTACCAACACATTTTGCGATTCATTTTTATACTATATATAGCTAGCGACACGCCCCCGCTTCGCACGGGTCCAACTATCTCGCTTTTCACTTTCACGGTTCACTTTTTCCTAATCTTCCCCTCTACTTTTCTAATATTTTCTTTGATAAGAACCTTCTCCTGATAATAACAAACACAACAAAAAAAGAATTAGCAAAATTAATCCAGGGGTTTTTGAGCTATGCGCAGAAAGTTGTGATATAGCAACGCTGCCAAGCCTTGGTTGGTTCGCTAAAAAAACAAATGATGAACACCGAGATACTTGGACATCCGTGTCAAGAAGGGAATTGTCGCTAATAACTACGAGCAACAAATTTTTCCCTGAATTTAAACAAAACGTTGCATAGACCAGGGACTTGCACTTAGTAAAAAATTAACAATTTCAAATTTCAATTCAATGCAATCAAATATTAAACATATACTTAACACACTTCCGTCATTGACTTTAGGCAATTTAAAAATAAATAATGCAACATTTCATCAAACATAGACACCAACGATTTGTCAGTTCTTAAAAGTATTTTTCCTTAATGTTTAAGGTTTAAACACGAACCGTTTGACGTGGTTTCTCTACTAGTGTAAACTGATAACTGACACGAACGGTGGTTCGAAACGAGTCGAGTTACCTTGTCAATTAAACTGTTTTATGGCCTACTTGCAAAAATAAATCCATTGTTTCATTGTTACATTTATAAATCCTTTCATGAATGGTGGTTTTAGAGTTTTATATGAGTGTCTCACCGAGACTGTTGGTGTTGGTGGCAGAATTGAGGCTGTCCTTGTCGTGGTCCCGCTCGAGGCTGTTGGACCCGCTGAGGATGTTCAGCAAGGACACGGCGCTCCAGGCCAGCGGCATGCGGTACTTGCCCAGCCGGGCGCATGCCGCCGCCGCGCCCGCGCGGACCTTCTCGCGGTTCTATATAGAAATGGAGGGGTTATATGTTTTATAAATATTTAATCACAAGCCATAACTTTTTTTTTAAAGGGCAAGACTGCAAACGATCGTACGTTTTACTTGATGGTAAGCAACGCCACCTCTAAACACCCGCAAAATCGGAAGAATGCGTTGTAGATCTTTTGGGGATTCGCGTTTCGAAGATTTAGCTATAGGAGTAGGAGAAACTTCACTCCGCTAACCTCAGTCACACGACGAAAGACGATGCTTGTTTCATGCTGATTTTCTGTGAAGCCGTGGTATCACGCCGGTTGAGCCAACCCATTCGTGCCTTAGCATTGCCCTCCCACTTAACTTTTCCATAAGAGACTGGCAACGCTTTGGTAACGCACAACTCCTAGTCTTCTGTGTTGCGAGTACCCATGTGTTACACCGCTTGCTTACCATCAGGAAATTCGTCTTTTTGTATGCCGATCTATCCCTTATAAGATGGTTAATGTCATAGTTATTTAGGTTTCAAGGCTTTACCAGCCATGTGTCTTAGAAACATAAACTATTGTTTGAATCAAGCAATAAAAGAATGAATAGTAGATAGCAGAATCACAAGCAAATGCTTTAAACCTATCGCGAGAGAAAAACAATAGAAAACCAACCTTATCATCCTTGATATAAGGTTCGACGCACTCATTGACATCGCCCTGGAGGACTTTTTCAACGCGAACCACGAGGAACATATCAGGCGATGGATTCATGAGATCGAAGACCGCACTCCGGCTGAGGGTCGAGAGGTCCGCGTGAGGGACGTGGGCGGACAACATTTGGCGCGTGCACTCCGAGTTGAGGTTAAAATAGAAGTTTTCTGAAACTTTTTTCTTCTCCTTTGCATCGTAAACTGCCATGGAGGCGAAGAGAGGTTCCACGTCCAGTTCAAGCCTGAGTCAAAATGTAAAAAAATTGTTATACATAACCCTCCTTTTAGGCTTCACTGCAGTCGGGTAAGAATACAATCGTATTAAGATTTTGTCATTTTTTTAAAGTCACTAAAATGTAATTTATTTCACTGCATAGTAAAAAAGTAGTAGCGTTTAATTTTTTTTTAAAGTCTTTAAAATGTAATTTATTTCACTGCATAGTAAAAAAGTAGTAGCTTTCTCTGTCCCTATATCTCTCTATGTTAACTTAAATCTTTAATTGTTTTTTTGATTCTGTTCCGGTTTTTATGTGATTTAAGAGGAAGGTTTATGTGTATAATAACATTAATTAAATAGTGGAGGAATTTAGTATCGGCACATCATTGCACCCGTGCTAAGCCGAGGCGGGCCGAATTAGTAATAAAAATATTTATAGACAAAAGCAACTTATACTTATGACTAGTCTAATCTATACCAACTGTACTTGTAGGTAGTATATTTAATTTATTACAACAATTAATACATAAAAACTGCTTTTCTTAATAAAATCTATTGATTATGTAAATATATGTACTTACTTGAGCTGATGGCAGACTACCAAGATCCGGTGCCCCATGATCTCGCTCGGCATCTCGGCTGCCAACCTTCGTTCCACGGCTTCCTCTTCATCCAAGTATGGAGTGTACAGCCCTAAGAGGTCAGCTTGACGATTCTCCAGCCTGAAGTTTAAAAAATATATTGTATGGCATGTACATACTACAAGTAGGTAGGTTTAGTTTGTCGATTCCGTAATTGGGTAGTTTCCATAGTCAACCATAAAACCCTTAATAAAAACCGTCCTTTCATTAATTTGACGGTTTTTTAACCACTTCCCTATATGATGTAGGTATCAAATACGACTCATGGCTATTGTATGTAGTTTGTGGACAGTGAAAGTGAAGATAAATTTTCGTAGTTTTTTGATAACTTAAAGTATATTATTTGACACAAAACAATTATGACGTCACCATGTGTTTTTTCCATATAAGATGAACATTCGAAGTTACAGGCTTCGGATTTATTGGCAGCTTTATTATTTACTAATGTAATTTTTTTCGAGGTTTTGTACTTTGTATATTTTTTAGGTCACTGCTGACATATAGTGAAGGAAAACATCGTAAGGAAACTTGGGACTTATAATTTCTAACTGTAAGTTTGAAGTGAGTTCGCCTATTTGTCTTGATCAAGCAATGCTTAAACCTTCTGTGTGTAAGAAGAACCGTTTGATCAGCAGTAGGCACTTATAGGCTGATGATGATAAATAATGATAAGTTTTCACGAATAAAGATTCAAAAAACTCACCTCCTAGCTTCATTAAGGGCATCGATCTGTTCCGGAGGCTTCCTCTCAAAGAGGTCAGGTAGCAGAGGGTCCGAGGAGGAGCTCCGAAGGTCCAGGCTGGCCCAGGAGCCGCGCGGAGTGAGGGTCTCGTTGCATGAGGAGGAGGATGACATAGACGCCACCGACTGACGCCCGCTTGATGGTTGAGATTCAGACTGTGGATTTAAATTAATCCTTATACAAAGTTATATTATCTTACTAATATTATAAAGTAAGAAACATCCAAACATCGTAACTTTCGCATTTCCGATGTTTGGAGGTCTGTTACTCAATCACGTAATTTGGGACAGACATAGGATACACTCCGGAATAGGAGATAAGGTACTTTTACCACGCGGGCGAAGCCGCGGACGGAAGCTAGTATAGACATAGTTTGATGGAATCGTTGCAACCCTCACAGAAAACCGACGCGAAACAGCGTTGTCTTTCGTAGTGTGAGTGAGGTTACTAGATGCCCAAACTCCCCCTCCCCGCCTTCCCTTCCCCCCCTTCATTTCCTTAAATCTCCACAACCCTTATCCCCAAATGGTCAGTTAAGCAGCCGCAACTCCTCCGTTATTGCGGGTGTCGCGAGTGTCTATGGGCGAAGCTGAATGCTTACCATCAGGTTACCCGCCTGATCGATTGCCCTCCTATCACATAAAAAGTGCGTAAAATGAGGAAAGCATTGGATTGGATGGAAGTTTTACTAAAATTGCTTTAGAAGTTTCCATGCTTATCAACTTGAAAGAATGTATTGAAACTCGGGCTTTATAATAGTTTTCATCCCTATTTCTGTATCATACCTGATGTTCTTCAATGCTAGTTGGTTCAGCGTCAACTTCGTATGTATGCCTGGGGCCAGCCTGCAGGCGCTCCAGGCGCTCGCCCAGTCGCTCCCGGCCGCAGGTGGAGCCCGAGTACGCGCGGTATTTGTACTCCACGACTGTGTAGTCCGTCGTGTAACTTCGGATGCAGTCGCGGACAAACATCGGGGCTTTGGCACTAGTGAACACAAAAATAATAAAACAAAAATAATTGAAGTCAAAGTAAAAAGCTTTTTTCAGATGTACTTTTAAATAACTAACTTCTCTGTTGTTGCAATAATTTACTATGTTGGTATTTGCCAACAAAGTAAAGTCTAAACTTATATTATAAAAGCGATAGTAACTGTCTGTCTGTCTTTTCTTCACGCCCAAACTACTGAACCCATTTGAGTGAAATTTGGTACAGACATAGTTTAGAACTCGAGAAAGGACATAGGATAGTTTTTAAACAAAAAATCTGCAGGAAGTCAATATTCCACGCAAACAAAGTCGCGGGCTAGTGTAATAAAACCTTTTAAAGAACTTCCTCAAATACAGTGTTGGCATTTTTTTAAAAGAGTTTTTAAAAATAGAACTCCGTGCTTTTAACGCACAACAAATGTGTCGATTCACTCAACCAGATACTAAAAAGGTCATTTCTGTCAACAAAAATAGTCTCTGATCACGCCATTACAAGACTATGTGATGGTTGGCTTTATATGAAATTAGTAAAAGCCCGTGGCTTTATTTATTTTAAGTTCAGTCTATGTTAGACTCGTATCTTTTATTTTGTCGTATAAAAAATACTTAGAGACGAATTTCAAAATCACTAATTCCACAAATAACATACGTAAAATCTTGATTCTTTGTCCATGTCATTTCGGGTACTTATAGGTAAAAGAGTTTGTAACATTATGGTATGCAAATAAATAAATATGAAATATGAAATATGAGTGAGCTATGGTTTATCACGAATGTATCGGCTCGACCGAAGTGATGCCACAGCCTCATAGAAAACTGGCGTGACACAACTACAGCGTAGTGTTTCGCCGTGTTAGTAAGTTTACCGGAGCCCTAATTCTTCCCCTCCCAAAGTTCCTCAATCTGTAACTCCTTTAACAAAATGAAACTCCTCCATTGTTGTCCATGGGCAGTGCTTAACGATTAGCATAACAGGTAATCCGTATGGTTGTTTGCTGTCCTATCAAGTAAAAATAAATAATTTCAAGATTTTCACGACAACAATACTTACAGGTCTTCATCAGGCAGGACATGGGAGATGGTTCTGATGCGCCGCGGCACGTTGCAGAGCTCCATGTCCACTGCAGGGTAGGCGAGGGGATCTTTCTCCCCCATTAGCCGGTCACACACCTCCTCATAGTCCGGTGGCTCAATCATGTCGCACAGTGATACCTTGGTTTATGAAGTTGTATAGTTATTGAATAATTTCATTATTAAGTTATAAAATAGTTGTCCATTGCGTTGGTGAGTCCTCTAGTGAAGTTATTTGCCTTTTTCAGTTCGAAAGTGAAGATTCCTATGAAGAAGAATGGGTAAGAAACTCCATGGTTACTACTCTTTTTCAATCTGATCCACAATTTTACACTAGATTACATAATAAAGTAGGTTCTATGTGAAACAATGTAACACCAACATTCTGCTAAAGAGACAGAAAATGGATAATAACCACATGGACAATAACTAGATAAAAGGAGAGTTTTTTTGTAGTTTGTAGTTATTAATTTAAAAATGTAATAGTAAGAAGCATATCACTATAAAATGAAGTTAATATGCTATCAGACTATACACCATAATTAATTTCAATTCTTTGACTTATAGTTTCTATTCTTTTACCATGATTTGAAAAAGGTAGAATGTGTTATTTACACCCATGACACCATATATTTTTTTTAGTATTTTTCCATACAATGATCCTATTCCTAGATATTGTAGTTAGAGTAAAGAGATGTATGGATAGCGTTTTTCACAATTTTTTATAAAATATATTGGTTTATGTACTAAAACATGCAAAAAGGTGGTGGTTAAGTACCTACATAAATTCAAAAGTAAACCTTATTTATAACTATAGAAAGTTTTAAGATAATGATGACTGAACATTTAAAAAAAACAATTTTGACGACATGTTACACTTTTACAGGGACGGTATCAACAATAAATATTATTTTTAGAGAAAAATATAAAATACTTTGTTTAAGTCCAACTTAAACTAACGAAATTATTGTTATTGGAAAACAATATGTTATGTCAGTATTGGCTAATAGTATAATCGTATTAGTATGAAGAAACAGACGAACCAGCAATCAATTAGTAAACAAACCGAAGCTCACACTACTAATAAGGACAAGGAAAGGGTGATTCATGTTATGATTAAATTAATTCTATATTAAAAGGATAACTTACAGAAGACGAGCAACCAGATAGAGTCCCGACCTTCGACTGGTTAGAATATACCTTACGAGCCTCCCCAGCATTCCTATAAATAGGGAAAAATCAATTTTTGCCGTATTTATAAACGCTAAAAGACCGTTCATGCATCGCCAAACAGGGACAGCGCTACAAGGGCAGGAGAACCATTTACCCGGAAGATTGCTGGTATTTACGTCCAAGAGTCATCTAAAATAACTTTAATAAACTTCTTACTCAATACAAACTGTTATTTATTGATTATTTCACATAAGATTCCGTTAAAAAACAAACATTCACGAAATTCTGTTTACAGATTTGACATTTCCATTGACACTATGACATTTAACTTGACAGCTTGTTCCGGGGTTGCCAGAGTATATCTTTGATTCATGAAGTTTATAAAGAATGGTCCAGTGAATAAATTAAAAACAAATTCTATTTTTGTCCCAATCCTAAAAAGTGTTGTTCGGTAGGGATTACATTATTTGAGCGTTCTTAAATTGACCTCATCAATTTTACGCAACAATTTACATATGGAATAATACAAGTGTAACTTCACTTGAATGTTATAATGAGCTTGAACTTGAAGAGTAATCTGAGCTACAAGGCCATGTTCAAGTCTTATAACTGTGTCCAGACAATGCCAAGCTGCTAGTTCTTGGAAGAAAATTAAAGATTTAAATATAATCAACATTTAAAAATGAATTTGAAATTTACATTTAATTGCGTGCAAAATGATGTAAATATAACTTTTGTATTTATGTGTAAGTATGTAAGTATACAGAAAATTAGATTATTTTTATTTATTAAATTATTTTGTACTATCAACTGTTCTCGTAGGGATAGGCAGCAGGATAGGAAACGTAACATTCAATCCCGTTTGCGACCCGTTGGCCGATGGCCTCCAGTTTGAATTTGGGTACGCTAGACACAATGGAATGCAAATGATTTATTTATTATATTACCTGTATATAATAATAGTCTTCTTTATTTATTTAGACAAAGAAGACAAAACAATACGTTAAAAAAATCGAAAATGACTGAATCATTTCAGTTTTTGTACAATATGATGATGATGATTTTACTACACTTTCATCTTAAGAAGGCATTTATCTAGTTTCTATAAGTAGTAGTAGTAAACTAACTTTTCGTAAGCCTGAACACCTACCTAATTGAGATAAAATAAGAAAAATAAATTTATAACAACGCTAGCGGCCCCTCTCCGCCGTTTCCGAGATCACATGCTTTTTGGGGCAAACACAATCAGCGCCATCGGCCTGGCTGGTTTGTAAATCAAAACCATCCAGGGCGCCACTCAAACTGAAAGAAAAAAAGCAATGAAATCGGTCAAGCCTTTTAGAAGAAGTTCAATGACATACGGACACAGCAGAATTATATATATAAAGATAAATTAGATAGAAAAAGAATAGAAATAAAATCCCCAAATGTCCTGGAAATCTAACCAGGGATTTGCGTCTCGGCAGGTAAACTTGTGACTGCACGTTGGTGTAGTGGCTGGGCAACTGGCTGATGTGCAACGTGTTGCGGGTTCAATTCCCACACTTTGTGTGATCCACAAAGTCCACAAATTATTGTTTCGGGTCTGGGTGGTTTGTGTTTGTTTGTAGACGACACAGGAGAAAATCCTAATGTAGGGCAAGGGTAATTTTTTTAAAAATAAAATAAAAAAAACTTTTGAAACAATAAAAATACTGACTGTTGAAACAGTAAAAATAAAAAATTATAATCTTTCAACAAGCTAGGTACACTCGGATCCCGCATCACAGAATCTGGGAAATAGAAAGTGCGCATAAGAATAATCCGTTTGTTGTATTCGCGCACGTTTTGAAATCTAATTGGATTGTCGGTCGCGTGGCGCGGGCTTCATCGGCACGGGACCGCGCACGAGCACAGATTATAAACGCACTTGAAAAATATTTTCTAGACACACACATTGTTTCCTAACTGCTGAAAAATAGACTGGTTTTAATTGTAACCTGTTTGTTTTTTTAGTATATTATGGTGACATCATGTTTAGTAGTACCAATGTATTTGAATTAAAAAAGGAATACTCGATTTCCGATTACACACATGCCATAGTGAGCGCGGGATCGTGAACCACCTAGGCACACTAGTTTAGAACAAGAAAGCATACGGCGTGTAACATTCCGCGAACTTCAAAGAAGAAGCCAAAAGACCATTGTTACTTGTAATTGTTATTACATGTAGAGCCAAATAGGGCTGATATTTAGCCGATGTTGCGGGTGCAAGCGCAATAATATAACGCGGCCCTGGCCTGGAATAAGCGTAGAACGGGATAGGTTTTAGTCAATCCAAGTTTGACCTCCCTCTCGCCTTACCCAGGGCGGTAGAACTGATTTGATGCTTTTCTTCTCACAAAAAAAGCGTATGGTATGTAATTTCCACGTGCGCCTCAAATGACCAAAAGATCACCACAAATGGGTACTGAACAGGGCTGTTGTTCAGCCGGAAATTTGGTGCAAGTGGAAGCGCAATATTGTACCACCTGGAACAGGCGTGTAGACTAGATTCACCACCCAGGGCGGGAGAGTTCACTTACTTCACAATTTAGAAATAGCGGTGGCTAGCTAGGTCTCGCTCGAAAACTTATAATTCTTTTATCTACGTATTATTTTGTAAAAATTATATCAAGAGAGAAGTATATGTATTAAAAGTTTTTATTTTTTATATCCTGTCGTCATTCCAGTTGTATGTCGTCGACTGTTGACTATAATGAATTAAAACATTATGAAAAGAATACTTAACATTTCCGATAGATTGACAGAAATAGGTCGACGTCGACTCCACAGATTCATTTTTGTTACAAAACTGTACTTATCCTTCACTCTCAGTGAGAAAACTTCAGTGAGTCTGGAATGTTAATCTTCTGTAAGAAAATTTTAATGAAATTTATTAAAGTTTAATTGTGTTACCTTACTAAGCCCCGCCCGCTATCTGTTTGAACTTGACAGGGCCCTTTAACAATTCTGTTTGAATACTTTTCAGACCTATTTATTCTGTATTTTATTAATATTACCACTCAGTATTCTGCTGTTAGGATTATAGGGTTAATTTTGGACTAGGGAAGGGTTAAAATAACTCAAATGGAATGCTGAATTTATCGGTGCAGGTCTACGTTTATTGCCAGATATTTATTTATTTATTTCTTCTTCATACAAAACAGTCTGAAAGGCGGACTTAATGCCTTAAGGCATTCTCTAACAGTCAACCATAGGTATTCTGCTTTATAGATATTCTGCTTCATAGATATTATGCTTTATATCCTCCCATATTACAGAAAACTTTGTTATCAAACTATAATATTTAGCCCGGCATTAAACTCGTGTCGTGCACAATAAACAACAACACTTACCTAAAACCGCTCACCCTGTTTTTTAGTTTCGGTATAAAGTTTGACCATTTTTATGGCATATATTAAGTTAAATTAAATAAGTACCTAGCTGCTGCCTAGCTACCAAGTGCCTTAGTTAAACAAAAAAAAAAAAATATTTTGATTTTGATTTTGATTTTGATTTTGATAAGGGATTCACCGGAGCACCCATGGACACTTGTAATTCCAAAGGAGTTACTACGAGTTCGTTGCCGTTTTGTGTGTTTTTTTAAGTATAAATGTTTAGGGCATTTGGGGATTGAGGTAAGGATTGGGCAATATCACCGTAAATCTTTTAAAATTGAGCACCAAAAGCATTTGTAATAAGTGAATATTAAAATAATATTTATGTAAGTGTCCTAATTTCCACACCACCCTCCTACATGCTTCTAAATCGTGGACATTTTCCTCAATTGAATATAATGCCATTTTTGCGGCATGGTTGCTACACAATTTCTATTACGTTGTGAATGAAAATGTGATATTATATTTAATTGAGACTTTTGGGAATATAAGTGGGTTAAGTATACATAAGCACTCGTATATTTATTTATCTCGTATTTCTTTTCTTTTTGTGTTCAAAATGGCCTGTATGTATTAAATTGAAATAAATGATTTTTGACTTTTGGCTTTTGGTTAAGTAAATGTTTAGAACACGTTAAATAATGTAATAATTATTAAGTTGAATGTAAAAGCTAAACTTGATAATACTTAGTTTTTTTTTACTTTACTAACGTGATAAATTTAATATTTTATTGAAAACAACAACTTAATCACGTGTATTAGCGCGGGTCTGCGGACGGCGAGCAAGCATGGTTCGCCGCCCGACCAGAACTAGACCCGAGTGGGTTGGGCATAGCGTTCCGCACGCGTCTCAAAGAGTCAATAGACCTCTACAGATGGGGCCCTATACGGTTAATACTTAGCCGGGGCAGTGGGTTAAGCTCAATAAGGTACTGCTGTCAGGGCCTGAAGTAGGAGAAGGAACGGGGATTTTCTAGTCAGTAAAAGTCTGATTTTCCCTCTCGCCACACCCTGGGCAAGAGAAGTTTTTGATGATTTTCCTTCGACAACATCATTTCATTATAATTGTATTGTTATAGCATTAATTGATAAAAGCTCGACTAGTTTCAAGTCACAACGGGACTCTACGGAATGCGCGTCGCGGCGACGTTGCGCAGCAGACTGGGTTATAGCTAGTTTACTTGTATTACTGTCATTAGGTTAGGACTATTTTAAAAGATAAGTACCTTAGATATCTAAGCTTAAAACCTATAATATAATATAATATAATATAATGATATTCAGAGGTGAAATCTTTAAGTTTGTATGTAGGGGGTAATCTTTGGAACCAGTGGTCGGATTCCCAGAATTCTTTCACTTATTGATAGCTACAATGTTCCCGAGTGCTATTGGCTATAAAAGCTCACGCTACGATCAAATGGAGCCGAGCAGCGGGTGAAACCGTGCGGGAGTAACTAGTTTTATTACATAGGTACATAATAAATAATTTACATTTAAATTCTTTATTTCAACGATAACAGGGACAGAAATTTACATAAATAAAATTTATGTAAATTTTTAGATGAGCTCTTTCATCTTTTGAACGTCGATTTAAGTGAAATTTTATATCTACTAGAATTTAATAGCAATACATTTAGATTCGTAGAAGAGCCCAAAGTCAAAAGTTTAGGACAAAAACTAGTTTTGAAACAAAGTTGTTGAGGTTTTACCCGTCTTTAACTGAATTAAATTCTGCTTTTCTCGTGGCCTGCCCCGCCCCAGTACGCAGGGCGGCTAACCAAGTTACCACCCTCAGTGTGCACCGCGCTTCCAGCGAGTACGCTTGTCTCTTCGCCAAATTAATAATAACATAGGTTTAAAAACATAGTTTGCTTCCATAACGCTTTTGCATAAATTAAAACATTACTCGTA